TCGACCTGTGTGAACCCACATTTGGAGAGAATAGATGCTGCTGCTGCTGCTGCTGTTGCTGCTGCTAGGAAGGAGATGTTTTCTTCGGGTTCAGTCAGGTTTGTTTAAAGATGGGTCATGTTGCAGAATGCAGCTGAGTGACCGTGGTTGCACATGGGAATTTGATTTATCTTTTTACCTCCTGAACGACACCACAGCTCCCCACCGCCTCTCTGCTTTATTGTCAGCCTTCCGCCTCCTTTTTCCCACTGGCTGATCCACTAGAAGACCCCAATCTCCAAATTGGCCAGATTCCCCAAAATGAATTTCGACCAGATCCTCTCTGCCATCGGAGGCTTCGGGAAATATCAGAAAAATTTTGTACATATTGGATTTGTTTACCCCAGATCCTCCTCGCCTTCCACATGATGGTGAGCATCTTTACGAGCCACGCACCGCATCACTGCCGAGACAACTCGAGCTCAGTAGCCGGAATAAGTCCTTCTCCCGGGCACACTCAGCCTGAACTTCAGCCTCTCGGATTCCCCTGCTCTCTCCCGGATTGTCATGCTGCAGAGGAAACCGGACTGAGCGCGTCCCATGTGGCCATGGATGGTGTTACAGCCAGGAAGACCTTCCAGAGCACTACAAGTCACCGAGGTAAATTAGAGATGTTAATACTGTGTTAATCAGGGGTGAAAAAGCAGCGTTGGTCATTCACAAAGTCACACTCCTGCATGGAAACAGGTAATGGTTCCACTCCACAAAACTAATATTGGAGATTTTCTTAATAATAAAACCAATGCAGAAAAATAAATTAAGGGATCTAAACAGCAAGCAAAAACATCTGAAAGTAATTCTAAGGCAACCATAATCTTTAAGATTGAACATTGATTAACCATATACATGACATAGGGAATGTACAAAGGCTCTTTATTATGTGTGATGTGATAAGTGGATAAATAGCGAGGGGGCCATGGAGCTAGAAATGAGCTTCCTGGCCCCCATCAATGTCCCACTCCTCCCTTGCTCTATGTGGTATCTGTTAATAATTTATGGTGTAACATTATATGTTTTACAAGTTAAACACTAAGAAGCCTGTGTTAGGACGGACCAATAGGAAACAGGTTTGGTTTACGGTGCATTATGGGAAGGCTGTAAGGTCAACGGCCAACGTATGGCGGTCGTAGAAGAGTTCAAGTTAATAAAAAGAAGGACACGACTGAAGTCACCCTGAGTCTCGTGAGCTTATGTTTAGTAAAAACAAGACATGGTGTCGGAAATTCAGTAAGCCCACGTCGGGACGATACGTCTGCCGGGAGGAAGAAGAAGGAGTTTGGTGAAACGCGCTAGACCAGTGAGAAGACTAAGTCGAGCGGAGCGGGGAAGAGCTAGCAATGGTGGCTAACACGCGCAACGCTACGTTTAGCATTCAGGCCCCGGCCCCTTTGATTTTCCCAAAGCTGCAACGAGCGGACAAAATGGATACGGAGATTCGAGGGATTCCCGCACAAGCGAGCAACTTAAATTCAAGCTCGGAGAGAGAATCGGGCGAATGCAATTAATCTACTATATGGAAGAACGAAGCAGATTTCCTGAAGAGGCTTAAAGCTCAGAGATGCAGACCAGCGCCAATACACTAAAGTGAGGACGACTTTTTGGTCATTCTTCATGGTGAAAAAAGATTTTTTTTTTCATGTTTATGAACGAGCAGGGATTAATATGCGCAAACAAGAAGCGACATAGTCTGTTGACGGCAGCAAAAAGAAAAGCCTAAATTCAACAAGTACAAAAAGCAATGGAGGTAAAGACACCAAAATGGGGGGGGGGGGGGGGGGGGTCACTACCAGCACTCACCTGTAAAATCACACGTCTTCAGATGAACGGGATCCGATGGAGAGCACCAACAACTAAGTGGACTGTGTAATGGAAAGCCTACATGTCAGTCCAACGTGCATGGACAACCTGAGAGAGCAGCTCAAGGCAGACAGTGTTTGTTAATGTGTCATGACGCTGTGCACAGAGGGATGGCCGTCTCGTGAGCTTATGTTTATTGAAAAACATGACAGTCTAACCAAAATGAACATATGATGCAGTAACTGTTGGGTTTTCTCATCTACTAGTGGGACCTGGTGTGCGACAAAGCTGGACTCAACAGTCTTGGATCATCTATCTACATGTTCGGCCTGTTGGTGGGATCCGTGGTGTTTGGAGCCATGGCTGACAGGTAGGCTGTGTGCTGCTTTCCCAGCTCTCCCTTGCTCTCGCCTGCTTTGCCTGGAGCCCTGTAACCTCTCACTTTGCACAGATACAACACATAGCCAGATCCCCAACATCAAAGCATGGCTGCAGGAGCAGACACAGCTGGAATCCTTGGTGTGTAGTATCCATGTGTAAGTGGGGCAAGTTGACACGTCATACAGATGGAGCTGAAGGGCTAAAATTACACATTAGGGTTTGATTGCTGCTGTTCCTTTCTAATTTTCCTATAGCTGCCTTAAACATCTTTTGAAAAATAATGTAATTCTTACATCATAAAAAATACAGACAGTATTTCTCACAGGGTGAAGCATAAATGTTCATGGGACACTAAAACTCTCCCATACGTACATACTGAAATTCCTGAAGGTGTGTTACACTCCATACTGGCCTGTGCTTACTGGTCTCACCCTGTCTCAGCCACACTGATTCACTTATGCACTCATTTATGCATGCGCTTACAGAGCACAGTCATGTCCACCTCTTCTCTCTCTGTGCAAGGTACGGCCGACGCTTCATCCTGCTGCTGTCCATCGCCCTTCAGACTGTGTTTGGAGTCGCTGTGGCCTTTGCACCCAACTTCCCTGTCTATGTGATTCTTCGCTTTGTAGTTGGCACCACGATCTCTGGAGTCATCATCAATGCTTTTGTACTTGGTACTAACCAAACACACACGCACACAGCTAAAAACAAACATGAGACCTGAGATCACTGCTGTAGCAACAGTGGTAGGAGTGGTTGTTAGACCATTTTATTTGTTGAGAAATGATGAGATGTGAGGACGAGGATTAATGAGTTGTGTACTGAGAGAAAAAAAAACAGTCATGATGATTTTGCATCAGATTTGAAAAGTCAGATTCCCTTGTCTCTCTATTGAGCCTTTTCAAATAGTTTATACTGTAGATAGGAGCTGTATGTGTCCAGGGAGCTTTGGATATGGTCTTAGCTTTTAGGGGTGCAGCTACATTAAGAGACTTCTATGACATTTGACATCCCACCCCTTAGACTAACAATACCCTTCCAAAATCCATGAAATATATACAATGGGGTCCAAAAGTCTGAGACCACCTTCCCAAATAGGAAGGTGGTCAAATGTCATCCAACAAGGATCACCTGGCTGTGGATCAAATGGTTGGATGTTGCACTTATGTGGTGTGCGCCTTAACTGTTACTGGTGTCACCAAGCTTGGCAAGGTTGTTTTTCTCCCTATCTAAAAAGTTGACAGTTCAGAGATGGAGATAGTTTTTAGCCAGGCTAGTGGTGAGGCTCCAGGGATGGCGATGTCGGTTAACTACTACTTTGATTCAGACGGACATATCTCGGCAACGATTGGATGGCTAGCCATGGAAACTCATTGTGCCCACACAACAAATCCTACAAACTTTGAAACTTTGATTTCACCTGACTTTTCCTTTAATTCCACTGTGAAGTCCATATTTATAGTTTTGAGGGAAATGTCCCAAAAGCTATTGGATAGATTTTCATGGAAATTGCTACAGGTCTATGTGTTCCCCTCAGGACCAAACTGACAAAACTGTTAGCATGCTAGCATGTTAGACTAAGATGGTGAACATGGTAAAGATTATACCTGCTAAACATCAGCATGTTGGCATTGTGATTGTTAGCATGTTAGCCTCCTGACGTTAGCATGGCAAACATATGCTGGTGATAAACAGGCTATATTGTGGGAGGTTTTGATTCTTTGCATGTGGATTATGGAAACTGGATAGTAAACAGATGTTAAACTGCTTAGTATCATTCAAGGAAAGCAGTGGATTAATGTAGTCGTCTGTAAAACCTTCAAATTAATGTACTTCAAGTGTAATTATGTCTCATGTTGTTTTGTGCTACCTCCTGCCCAAATCCCAGCACAAACCCTTGCCACTCTTTCCTCTACCTTAAAGCCTCAAACCACCAATACCCATGATCCTCTCCTCTCCTCTCCCCAATCCTCCACTGTTATACCTCCAAAGGCACTGAGTGGACATGCACCAAGAGACGCATGCTGGCTGGCATCATCACGGACTATGCCTTTGGCCTGGGCTACATGCTGCTAGCAGGTGTAGCATACCTGATACGAGACTGGAGAAAGTTGCAACTGGCCATCTCAGCCCCGGGCTTCCTGCTCATCTTCTATATATGGTGGGAGATTGAAAGGACATCTGAACATTAGATCCACTGTGAATTTATACATTTCTTGGACATGAATACCCTCTTTGTGATCCTCTTTTCCTCTTATTCCTGGCACTCTCTCTCGACTTTGTCCACACTTTCTTGTCTCCTCTCTCTTCTCTGTCTCCTGTCAGGGTGGTCCCTCAGTCTGCCAGATGGTTGTTGGCCAACGACAGGAGAGAGGAAGCCATCGCACTCCTCCGCAAGGCAGCACTTGTCAATGGAAGAGTTTTACCTCCCGCTGCACAGGTGTGTCTCTTCTCTCTGCTTAAAATGTTTTCTTGTGTGCTGCTGCTATTTAATGGACAGGTAAGAGAGGTATCAATCCTCTCATCAAAGTCTTTATCAATAAGTGTATTTCTCAATTATTTCTGTGTCTAACTATGACTTATTTCCTGAAACAGCCAGGTATTGTATTCTTTAGTAAATATTACTCAAACAGACACATTTAGTGTTCTAGTGAGTATTTAAAGTAAATTTAGTATTGATGGTTTTTAATAGCTTGGGACAACAATGGTGCTCTATAACAGAGTAATGAGCTATATCAGGCTGACGATACTCGTTAAGATCAATTCATTCTTGGTTTTTGGTTTATGTGCATGTCCGTGTGTGCATCAGGTTGCGAAGTGTGAGATTTTAGCTGGAGGGAAGCGAAGTTACTCGGCAGTGGATCTCGTACGAACACCTCAGATGAGGAAGAGGGCTATCATCTTGTTCTACATCTGGTAAATCTTGTTTGTATGTGTACATGCAATCTTCTTTCTCTCTCTTTTCTCTTTGACCATATCCCTGTTCCTCCTTTACAATCTCAGGTTTGTGAATGTGCTGGTGTACTACGGCCTCTCACTGGGTGTGTCCAGGTTAGGGACAAACCTCTATCTCACCCAGTTCGTGTTCGGGTTGGTCGAGATCCCGGCTCGTTCTCTGGTCCTGCTCGTTCTGCCCTGCAGCCGCAGACTCTCCCAGAGCAGCTTCCTGGCTGTTGGAGGGCTCGCCTGTCTGCTAATGCTCACTGTCCCTGCAGGTAGGATGGACACTGTTTATTTACACTCATATCGTTTTATAACAAGGCTGCATAAAAGACTTTCTCTCCTTTTTTGTCTTTCCTGTTATCCTCACCCTCCCTGTGTCTGTAGATCATCCCAATGTCCTCACTGGTCTCGCCATGGTGGGGAAGTTTGGTATAACTGCTTCCTTTGCTGTAATTTATGTGTACACTGCTGAGATATTCCCCACTGTGCTACGGTGAGACGCTTTCTCAAACACACGGTCATGAAGCATTTTATTTTTTATCTCTTAGGGTAATTCCTGCAAAATATTTTCCTTGTGTTCCCATAGACAAACGGGAATAGGTGTCTCCTGCATGTTTGCGAGGATGGGTGGTGTGTTAGCACCCATCATCAACATGCTTCATAACCACAGCCCCACCACGCCTTTGGTCATCTTCGGTACCTCCCCGCTGCTGGGTGCTGTTCTGGCCCTGGCACTGCCAGAAACCGCCGACAGACCTCTTCCTGATACAGTGGAGGACGCAGAGAACTGGGACATGAGGTACGTTAATGTGACCCCCGTTTTCACTGGGATGGGGCTTCTGTGAGTACTGAGGAAAGTAGTGGTAAATTGTGGAGACTTTAATTGTAGTTTCTTCATCACAGAAAGGAGAGAGCTGCTTGTGAGCAAACTAAGTATAAGATGTGAAGTGTGAAAATCAGGGAACTAAAATTTCTCTGATTTTCTTAATTCTTTTAACACTTGAGGTGTTATCACAGTTTCTGCATATTCACTTGTGAGCTGTTAGTTCACAGAGCTTTTAGTGTGGCCCTGGCTGCTCAGCCTCCATGAACCTGAGCAGGATTTCAAATATCATGGCCTTGTTTGTTCCCATGAGAAAACCCAAGCTCAGCAACCGGCTCAGTGTGTACTTTGTGTTTTGTCTCCTGCAGGTCTCCTTGCAACAAGGACAACACTGAGATGTGTGAGGATATTAGCCAATCGGCCAGCAGCACAGAGGAACAGGAGCTACGACATCTAGCAAGCCAGACCTAACTGTATTCACGTGGGTGCACACATGCCATTATTCACACAGTATACTGCCTCAACTTTGATACCAGGTACAGTTCTTCAATCATCCTCTATGCAATAACACGTCAGGACCTGATTAAGAAGTTTATGCAAGAAAGCCAAACACATCTCACCCACCAAACTAGCATGCAGGTGCATGCGCATGTGCACAAAGCAGGCATTCAGCTCTGCTGCCAGGGCAGATCAATAGCCTACTGTTTTACCAAATGCAAGTAAACACCCGTCTAAGTCAGGAATAGTCCTGTTTAGCAATCTTGTGTTATTCATCAGAAGTTAAAAGTTATTCTAGTTTTGATATATTTTCATTACGTGGTGAGACAGAATAAATAGTTCCCCTAAAGACTTTGCAGATTGCATATTTGTATATTCCTGTATTTACACATCTACAGGCAGCAGCTCAGCTCAAACTTCTAAACCTCTGTTGATGTGAAGAGTCAGATTGGGCGAGAAGACTTTAGTAGACTGCCACTTCCTCTTGAATGCAGCACACAGTCCTGTTGAGCAGCTCTTTTTAGGACTTTCTATTTTTCAAGACTGAAGAACATTTTATTACATTTTGCGCGTTTCTTAAAAGCACGTTTATAATATTTTTGTGGACTGTTTGTGGCATATCTTTGTTGTATCTTAATGCTGTATCGAACAAGCAACTGCCTCGTTTTCTATTTTATGTTCTCAAGCCGAGAGAAAAGAAAACTAGTCAAGTAAAATTGCATGCACTAGTTACCTTCATTATGCCTAATGTAGCCTTTTGTTAGACTACTGTAGTTCATATGTAGTTTTGTATGAGAACCTGGATGTGACTGATCAGCATGTAGACATATTTGATTTTATCTTTCTCTTGTAGAGATTTGTTTTCATTTTAGTTGCCATGATTTTTAAAGTGTTTAAGGGCTGTTATTATATATATGAATTAGATACATAAAAAAAAAAAAAACCCAGCATGGATCAGAAGCACTGGTCATGTAGTAGTATATGTTACTCAGTAAAAGGGATTCTATTTGTCAATAACTATTATTAATATAGCAAAGAAATCTGAGGCCAGTGTGATGGAAAATATCAAAGTGTGTGTATGTGTGTGTGGGGGCGATACGCTGTTATTCCACTGCATGAATTTGAGATGTCACTTAAACCAGCAAATGGACAATTTTCCATTTCTTTTTTTTATTGCATTGATTCCAGACCAGTGCATTTGCAACAATGCAACAAATTACAAAAATTAAAATTATGAACAACAAATGGAAATGTGTCGCAAAATGTGCTTTGTACAACTGAAAGAAAGGCACTGTGCCAACATGTCCTCAGCAGTAAATTCATTAAGACCATTTTTGAAAATGCATATGTGTGCTTTGTGCGAGTTCACTCAGTCGCCATTTATCAGCAATATTTAACACGTCATTATTATCAAGCAGCTCAGTCTGATGTAACACCTACATCTCTTCTCAACACTTCCAAATTTGGGGTCATTCATCCTCACGCATTCACGTAGTGGTTTTAACATTAGGACAAAAGCACATCTATGCCAGGGTTACATATGTAGCATCAGTGGTGACGCCACAGTTGTTATCCTTCATAGACATGAGGATGTAGCCGTCGTTGCCCCAGTAGGTGGACCATGAGTTCTTTATTAACCAGTATGGCTCCCCGTTCAGGGTCCCATAACCCACTGCAAGCACAGCATGGTCCAAATCATCCGTGGTGTTACCTGAAAAACACAAGAAACATGCTGAGCTTGTAGAGAGAGGAAGACAGTGGTGGCTGTAAAAAAAAGTAGAAGCACCATTGAGGGGTGAACTCACCGCAGGCAGGTTCATAGTAGACACCGTGGCTGTAGTAAACAAAGGATCGATGGGATGCGTCGATACTAACAGCCACCGGCCCGTTTTTGTAGAGAGCCAACTTAAGGGCGTCTGCGTCTCCTGATGTGACGTTGGTGTAGCTTTGGATTTTAGCAGTGAGCTGGGATGCGTTCACGTGGCAAAATCCATTCTGTTCAGACAGGAAAACAAAAACACATCTGATGTCTCTCATCCAGTAACAGAAAAATAAAACAACAACATTGTTCTGTCATAGTTCCTCAGCAGACCTAGAAATCACACTGTGCGTTACTTTAAACTTTTGAAACAATGAAAAACAGAAAATCTAAATTTTCAGAGGCACATTGTACTGGTGGAAAATGTCTCAAGGTGCCTCACTGTCTTTTTCCTTGACATAATTAGATGCAGTCAGTTGGACTCACATTTCATAGGAACTTGTAACTCTGTATTTTGGCAGTTATCCCCAAGTTTAGCTGGAAGAAATACTGCTGCCAACATGTGTTTTATTTTTGCTTGCATCCTCAAAAATAAAAATAAGAAAAATACTGAACAAGAGTGAATTGAAACTCACTCTCCTTCAGTATTGACTATATAGGTTATTCACCTATATAGTCACTCACCATTCCCATATAGGCTCCGTAAGTTTCTGTTGTGGCGATGCCGCCATGTTTCATGATCCACTCGTACCCCCTCCACTCCTCCCCTCCGTCACAGCCATTATTGCCGAAACCCCAGGAACAGTCCACCAGCATCTGCTGAGACAGAACCTGCAGGGAGCCTGTCTGCAAGACAAGAGGAAACCATGTGACTATGCTCCAAATGCGGATTATTAACCTGTCCCTTCTCTGCATAAATCAAATTCTCTGAATTACAACACCAACAGTTTCACCAGCTCTGTCATCTCATACCATCAAACCAGCCTCTCAAAACCTAAAATAAACTCAAGAAATCACTGATTACACAAGAAAAGAAATTAGACTAAAGGTCATGTAGAAAATACAATGAGTACATAACTAAAGCAGAGAAGGCAGCCAGACATGTGCTCATGGTTTAAGATGGAGACACAGTGAAGTTTATAACAAACATTGTTACACCAGCTGTTATCTACAGGTTGCTAGGCAGACGCTGTGAGATCACGAAGAAGTAAATTTAAAATTGGCCCCTGGGGGGACCCTCTGTTTATGAACATGCCTGTGGGGACGGGGACGCAGGTCACTTCCTGCTGCCGCGCTGTGTGCTGGCAAAGGCACAAAGACGAACCGCTGAGATCCCTCAACAGCACTTTCTCACAGTCAAATCAAACTGTACTTGCAGCAATTAGTGGAGCACTCACCCCCAGATCTGATCAGAAGCTCTTAACTCTGTGGTCTCGTTATTTTTGACATGTGGCAAAACAGTGTAGTAATCTGTAAAACTGCAACTGTAAAACATTAAATGGTAGGATTTGCTTGCCTCCATTTCCAAAAAGAAAAAAGAGAAAAAAAGCTTTTTAACAAATTGCTGCAAGTTTTGTTGGAATATTGTTCATGTTTTTGACATTTTATAGATTTAAATATTAGTTAGATATGTAACCAATGGATTAATTGTTACTGAATTATAATGTTACTTGAAATAACATTTCTTAATGACTCTACAAGGCTCTTCTAAACTTAAATATTTTTTAAATAACCTCCACACCTCCCGTGTGTGTGTGTGTGTGTGTAGGAATTTGGTCACCTCAATGGGGTACCATCAAACCCCATACCAAACAGGTCCAATGTTATGGATTGAGTTGCTTAGCAACACAGGAGAAGGAATGCCTTTGAGCTCTTTGCCTTTCCACAGGATGGAGGGAGGCCAAAGCTGACATTCACTCACTTTTATTTATTCACACACACAGTCAAGTCTGTCTAATGTGAGTGAAAGTTACACAATGACTCGTCTTGTGGAGCGGCCCCTGATCTGAAGGGGAAGACCTCTCTTCACTCAGTGATGCTTTTCTCAAGCTTTCAACTCCTAAACTGAAGGGCATCAGATGTACGAAATTATTTAAATAAACTGACTGACTATGGACTATCCTCAGTTCATCCTCAGACAAAGGTCCACAGTAATTATACTTCCCTATGAATTTCACACTGGTCATTTTTTAAAACCTTTTTCTATTGTGCTGCTGTTTTTGAACATTGTCCCAACAACCTAACTCACTTCATCTCATATCTACCCCACGTTAATCATTAATAAATTTCTATAGCATGTTTGACGCTATATATCCTTTATTTCTCTGTAATCTGCTGTAGGTTTTCTGCATAAATGACCCACTTCCCTGCAGTAGTCACCACATCTTATCATTGGTTACGAATTTTAGAAAAATGGCAACAACTGCAATGCAAATCAATCAAAAACATGGACAGACAAAGCCCCATGCTGAACATCTGTGGCTTCAAAGAGCATAGGGAAGAAGCCCAGTCAGTTATAAAGAACAGATTGGGGCCAGTGACTGTGGTGCAAGCTGCTTCCTTATTATTCCTTACCTTTAGGAAGAGAGCGCCCTCTACTGTCCCAGTGGTGGCAAAGCTCCAGCAGGAGCCACATATGGCCTGGTCCTTCACTGGGGTCACAGCACCTGAAAGGGAAGAGCTGATGTAAATACTAGTGTGTCCTGCCAAACAGATGCATCTTGGGTAAACATTTCAGACGTACATATTTGTATTTATATGTACCGTAAAGCCTCCAGTCAAGTGAATCAGGTACATTCACCCCTTCATAAACCCTGGAAGGGAAGGGGAGCCCTCTGTTTGGAGTCTTTCCACGTTTCCTTCCCCTCATGGTGACCAGCTCTGACATGGTGCGATCTGACAGAGAGTTCAGGGCCAGAGAGAAAGGCAGCCCTGCTCTGTTCTTGGAGTGAACGTACCTAGAGTAGCAAACAAGGACACAGTTACCAGGTCATGTAAAGTCCTTCAACTGCAGACTGCATTTAAACATGGCTATGTCCTTTAAGAGAAGATCATAATGCTGCAGTGTCACAACTCTTCTGTATTATTTTCCCCTCTCACCGGAGGTTATGAACAAAAGCGTGCTCCCTCTTCTCGTGTTCTCTTTCATCGCTGTATTGACGCTGAAACTTCTCCTTGAAATGGCTGAACATGCGCTGCGCGTGGCCTGCCGCTGAGGTGTGGATGAGATCTTTCATCGGATTGGCCAACATGTGGTGCTCCACTCCTGGACCAGGAAATCCCCCACAGCTCATCCCTATGGAGGGAAAATTGACAGAACAAATATAGGTTTTCTTCACGGTTTAACTGGTCTTAATGTACAGTATGTAACTACAGCAGGAGGCCACAAACCGTCTGGCAGGGAGAAGACTTTGGGGTCAACATGAGTGCTGAATTCCTTATAGTCCACCAAGTATTTATCATAGTGGGACCCCAGCAGTGTGTTGTATCCCATCATCTCATAGTGGAGGGGAGTGGCGGGCTCTTTGCCATCCGCAGCTTTCTCTGAATGGGTCACCCACAGTGTGTATGTGTTCTTCTTGTAACCCACAGTAGTCACATTCTGCCAGACCTCACACAGGGAGCCTCCGTAGTACTCCATCCTCAGGAACTATGGAGGGAACAAACATTTAACATGTGAGAACACAGAGATGAGAGTATTTTATTAACAGTAATCTGAAGCCTTAGTATAATTATTTTGAATCCTATTATTTCACTATTATAAAGGAGATTATGCCAATTGCTTTGCTTTTACGTAACCCTGTTTTTCCCCCAGTCATCAACACCGCTATGAGTTTGTATTGGTGCAAAGCTGTGAGACTAGAGAATAATCAACATCACAATGAATTTAAATCTCACTCATTAAGGCTGCAGTTTAACAGACTCTCTGGAGGCTCTACAGCCCCCTTTACAGGAATTAACCACGCAGTCTGCATGTCAGGGAGTGTTGAACCAGTTTCTCTCTCACACACACACACACACACACACACACACACACACACCTGGAAGCCCTGTACATCAGGCAGTGATGCCTGCGGTGTGACCGTTTCATTCTTTGTTCCGTTGATCTGAAAGCACTTCATCACATTCTGCTCCACCTCTGTGGTCTCAGGAGTGATTTTATAGGCGACGCCCCACTGCTCTTCTGCCCCCAGCTGGTATGTCGACACTTGGCCTGTTGGTGATCAAAATGAGAGACGTTAAAGTTACGACATTATTGGCTCCTTTAAGGCAGAGGTTTCCACTTCCTGGGTTACAGACCTACACCGCACCATGAAACATTGGCTATGGGGCCATAAGAACGTGATGTGATTCACCATTATTGTAGGCTATAACTATCACCCGGAACTTGGCCGAGCAAGTCCGTGTCAGTTCCTGTCCCAAAACAACAATATACCACACTGACAGTGAGCTGACTGACATCAGGAAAGTCTTTTTACACAAGACTACATACAGACACTATTGACGCAGTGCCGCTACCGTGTGTGAGAAACACGTGAGCATGTCAGCGTTTCTCACAAAGTAACTCAGCGGTGAAGTAGTGTGAGTATTTATTTGCTCACAGACTGCACAGTGATAACTATAGAGATGAATAGAGTAGGTTAATGTTTAGTGCACATTTAATTTGCTGCAGAAAAAAAAAGAGGAAGGCCCAACAAAATAAAATGTCTGCTTTGGATACCCAATATGAAAATATTTCTTCCTTTGCAACTAAACAATTATAGACTTCCTCATCCATTTGTTATCATAAGCACCTTGTTATGACTGGGGAACCAGAGCTCATCTTAAATACTGCAAATCAAAGGTTCAGAGTCACATGAATATGTAATATGAGTCAGCACTTCTTTACTTCTTTCCTTATACACTAACTGATTATGCTCCACTCTGGTCACTTTGGTCTGACACAACAGGATATCAGTTTCACATCACTAATCCAACCAAGCGGGGAAAATACAGAGTCAGGTTTAAGAGAAACAGCCATGGGTCAAGAGGTTTTCTTACCATGGTAGTAGTCTATTCTGCTGGACTGTGCTGGAAGGTCTAACCAGGCCTCGAATGGCTCCTTGATCTCAGCATAGGGCAGGGAGATCACTCCTGCAGTGGAAATGTGGAGCAGTTAAGTAATGAGGCTACGTTTTGAGATAAGGACACCCTGAATCCTCTCGTGGTACATGGGTTACCTTTCACATGATAGCTGCTCCCAAAATCTGGAGTGGAAGGGACTGCTTTTCCCTCTGTAGCTGAAAACAAACACAGGAAATGCATTTTCACTCCTTTTATTGATCTCCTCCATTTATTTCATATGACAAACAGGACAAATAGAATACGTGTAATTCTATTCTTACATCAGGCAATTGCTCTAACAGTGTGTCCTTATCACTTGAACGGAAAATGAAAATGTGGTAATTTAGCCAATGTTGTATTCTTCCCTTCCTACACATACAGTATGGCAGAGCATGGGAAGCCCTTTGAGAGTGATTTCATTAAGTTTTCGTTAAGTAAGTGTCGCATGGTACATTTAAGATAAGACGAACTAAAGAATAAATTTAATAGTTTCGATTGGGATCATAAACTGTATTTTAAGGAGAATGTAGTCACCCAGAAAAGCAAGTCAATTCTAAATTTACATTTTTTTTAGCGGAAGTTTGGCGTAATTTGCACACGTCTGCACATTTCCAAGACTGAAACAGGCAGGTTTTTATTGGTATTTTAACAAAATTATCACAGTTTTTCACCAGTGCTATATGGCAGTTTATTTCAGAGAATATGAGCCAGGAACCTGAGCGATAACGTAGCTATCATAACGACTAGCTGCTATTGTAGCATGTAGCTAGCTGAAATCACGAAGTAGCAGATGAAATGTTGTCTCTTACCTATGGCAGCGCACAAAAGAGCAGCTGCAAAGTACCAGCACCGCATTTCTTCTGCTTCGAGCTCAGAAACACAAGAAACAGAAAAGTACTCAGACCAAACTCCTAACAAAAACACATGACTCCGCAGCCTACACCTCTCCAAAACACTTATTAAATAACAAACTGCAGGACAAACGTTACTGACGTTTTCTCTTGACCAATCGTATAGTAGCGTGGAGAGGTGTAAGCCAATCAGATACGAGAGGTGGGTTTTAGTCGCATGGATACCATGTGATTTGTGTCACATGACTAAACCATAGACTGCACTAAAATTAACCATCTATAACCACTAGTTACAGATTTTAGGAAACAGCTGTTTGCTGTCAAAACTCTGAGTTGTTGTCAAATGATTGATAAAATTGCAAACATCATTACCAGTAATAAAATATTTGATCTCAGAGCCGATTCAACTTTACATAGTAAGTCAAATAAGGGAATAGTGGTTAAAAAAAAAAAAAACCAGTATTTAAACTGTAATAATAAAAGTCTGAAGTACAAAGAAGCTGTGTAGTATGAATAATATAAATAGTATAAAGAAAAATAAAATATAATTAAAAAAGAAAAGAAAAATAACTGATAGAAAACTAAAGTGACAAGTCTAAACAAACAAAAGAAGATGCCAGGGTGTGTTTTAGTGATACTGTCAGATGCTTGAGAGAAAATATGCCATCTGTAATGCAGGAAGTTAGTCTGCACAGGACTTTGCAGTGCAGGGAAGGTGGTTTGACTCTCATGTTATTCAAACACTTTGCAGGACTTAAAGGGTGTGTTCACCCAATTCACAATTTACAGTTTCTCACTTTGCACTAGTACTGTCCATACAGGTAGTTTATGCTGAAGTGTTTAAACGTGTCTCTGAGACCACCACCAAAATCAATGTTGTCACTTATGACATTTAATCATAATTTTAATGGAACACACATGTTGACACAGAACAAAGTCAGTGCTTTTTATTTGGTCAAATTTTTTTTCAAATAAATTAACTATGAACATTGTGATTATGATTCATTAGTAACTTGATCTTCGTGCACAGCTGCTGTTGTGCTTATTCTTGCATTTTACCTTCACTTACTGCTGCAGTTTATTGATTCTTGCTGCTGCTTGTAAACTTTGAACATTCCTTCACTGTGAATGCGTCTTTTAATAAAACAGCGTGTTATGTAATCTGATTCTATCCTGTGTCTAAGGAAAGGGCTGACATGGGGAAAATACGAGGAAATTAACGAAAGCCATGAAGGCCCACCGCCAGAACAGTAGGCCTAATGGACCGTCTGGCACTTGTGGTGTACTTCAGGTTGGTTGTGGGTTGTTGGACTCGGGAAACCAGTCAGACCCCATTTCAGCCGGATCTCTGGACCCAGACCCGGCCGAGTCTTTGCCAGAATAATTTGAATAACGGCATAAGAAAAGAAAACCGGGGAACAAACAAACGCGGGAAAGTGTCATACCTGAGACAGTTTCGGAAATCAGGTGAACATGAAACGGGGCGTGGTGAGAAGAAACAGAGCGGCGCACAGAGCCGCGTTTAAGGACTGCCCACATACGGAGCATTGGGCCGAAAGCGCGCCAAATTTACCTTAAATACGGAAGTCAATAAGCAGCGAAGCCGCAATCAACCGATACCTGGCTATGTCCCGTTTTCCGTTTGCACGAAGAAATCAACTGCCCGCTACCGGAGGTAAGTCCGACAGCGTCGGAGGCTTTGAATTTACTTTCTCAGCAAAGTGGTTCGAGAAAATGTGGATTTTTTGATGCTTCATGTGAACAGCGCGACATCTACTGGCCAGAAAGTAAAATAGGCAAACACAAACGTTTGTATATCACAAACTAAAAATGTGGTGTGTCTTGGATAAAATTTCTTTAGTGGAAGTTCAGTCATAAAACTATGTTGTTACGTATCGTTGAGCATTTTTTAAGTGGTTTTACGAATATTCAGGAGCTTTCTTAGCAGGTATACGTCATATACCTGCGTATTACTACATTGAGTATAAGGGACTCTGTATTGTATATTCAAGTCATACATGTTTAGTAATTACTCTAAAAGCAATCAAAATATGTTGTCTATGTATCTAAAGTATTAATATCAGTCACATTAAGCTCAAAGTCTTTGTTTTAACTTGAGTTATCAATTAGTTGTGAGGGCAAAGAAATGGAAAATGATTTTGGAAAAACGCTTTATTCATTTTTAAGAAATAGAAACCTCTTGAAAAACTCAAACTGTTAGCTTTACTTTTAAATGTTTCCTTTAGTGTTTGTGTGTGTGAACAATTTTTTTGTAGAAATAATTGTTTTTCAATATTTTCATCATGTCATTTTATTTAATATTTAATATAAATACATGTTTTCACAGGAATACCAGAATCCACCCCAGGCCAGAACCACGCCCCCACACCCAGCAACAAATGGTAAGTCATGCGCATGACTACATCCACTCCCATATAGGCTCAAATTAGGCTCCTAATGATTTTGAGCTTGTAAAGTGATGTTCACAGATAATTCTGAAGTTTGCAATTGTAAATCAACCTTTTGTAAACCTGTAAAATAAATCTTCATGAGAAAAAAAAAATTCTTTGGCAAAGAGGTTTCTATTTGTTAAAAAAAAAAAAAAAGATGGTATGATTTGTCAATGCAAAGCAGAAAACTGTAAGACTTCATACTCAAAGTTCCCACACAGTATGCGACACTGAAATTACAAGAAGAATTTTTAACCAATTTTAATATGGCGTTATTTTTGTGCCTCATTCCTGAACGCATAATGGGACTTTCTGAGCACAGACAAATATATTTTGCAAACACACAAATTATGTTTTGAAGAAAAAATATTCTTGAGCAAATAACTTAAACTGAGCAAACAAATGCTCAATAAATGTATATCTCTGTTTGCTATTATCCTCAAAAGTCGCACAATACTAATGTTTCTCACTCAGGCTTAGTCAGTTGTTCTGTCACAGATCTCTGGTCTGTGCGCTGACAGATACATACCAGCTTGCTCGCACTGTCTCCCTTGTGCTCTCATCATCTCTGCTCTGGCTGTGCTCAACTCTGCCTCCACACTCGCTTAACATTGCGCTGAAATGAAATGAAAAGTTTTGACAATGCAAAGGGGGGAAACAGCTGCATGAGAAACACTGCACCATTCTTAGCTTTTGTTTGTTTGTCCAGCAGCTCTGAGTGACCAGACTGTGGGTCTACCTCTCTCTGACTTCTTTGCTGCCTGCTTCACCCTGAGCTGTTTGTGATAGCAATAACATTTGTTTAATTCTATGAATGATAATATAATAAAAAAAAAAAATCAAATCAAATAAAAATCCAATGTCCTGTCACTTCTGTAATTTTAAATGTGTGTGCAGCTCTGTGCACTGTATAATTATCTTCTATTACACAATATGTACATGTATAGTTTCACAGTGTGGTTGCCAGTTAACTAAAACCATGAACAATGAGTTGCAATATACAAGTATATACCACTAAAGGTCTGAAGCTCCTTCTACAAGCTTGAAGAGGCCATGCAAACCCTAAAAACTGGCACTAGATGTCAGTATTTGACACAACATAGTCATAATCTGCTCTCTAGGACCTGGGTCCAGAGCTATTCTGACCGATATTGAAGTCACAAGATTCTGAGTAATTGAAAGGCGGCAGGCTTTTAGGTACATGTACTGACAAGTAGAAGAAAGAAAGGACTGGCAGACAGAATTTACAGAGTAAAAGAAGCTGTGTTGCACTGAACTCTGTTAGGTGGGAGTCTCAGGGCACTAACTGAAGTCATGAGATAACAGTGCAACAGCTGAGCAGCCAGCAGGACATAAAAACAGTCTGTGGAAGTTCACTGCACAATAACAGCTGAAAGACAGAGGAAAAGAAACACAGTCAGCAGGAATGGTCATTGTCTAATGGTCACTGTGTGGTACTTTTCAGGAACTGATGTCAATAGTAAACAGAATCAAACTTTAGGACACAGGGATCAATTGGAAAAAGACCCTAACTTTGCGCTTGTAGCAGTCACCACTGGCGTTTTCAGATCATGATCTGTAAGGTTTAAACTTACAAATGCAATTCAAATGTTGAATGATTGTTTCCAATGGGGGAAAAAAAAAGTTTTAGTATGAAAAAAGAAATACTCAAATTGGCTTTAAATTTAAAAATAACTTGAACCTCTTCCCTGTATCAGGATATACTGTTTACAGTAGGTTAAATGTGTTGGGTTAAGGGTAATAATGTGTGCAGCCATGCTAGGCACAGTGTTGTTTTGTCGTAAATATCGCGTTACAGAAGGTTCAGGCTTTTTTTAATACAGCTGCTAAATCTGTTTAAGTGCTACTTTAGAGTATAAAGCAGGTGACTCACTCCGCTGTGGCAGTAGAAGACAGCTGTGTGTGTTTGGTCAGAGGCCTCAGGTTTCTGTAACCCTGAACATTGCGTAAGAGCCCCCGCCCCCACAAAACTATCATTATTCAAAATGCCAACCTTCTGGCTTTAAGAAACATTAAAAAAAAAAAAAAAAAGAAAGAAAGACAAGTGTTGTATTCAGTCACAATTGCTATTTTTAGATCAAGCAGAGGAAAAAAATATGGAATCACTCAATTCTGAGGAAAATATTATGGAATCATGAGAAAAACACTACACCATTAGTACTGTGTTGCACCACCTCTGGCTTTTATAACAGCTTGAATTATCTGAGGCATGGACTTACCTATTGACAGACAGTATTCTTCATCAATCCGGCTCCAACTGTCTCTTATTGCTGTTACCAGATCAGCTTTGCAGGTTGGAGCCTTGTCATGGACCATTTTCTTCAATTTCCACCATAGATTTTCAATTGGATTTATCATCTTGAAAAATGATGTCATCATCACCAAACACCCTTTCAATTGATGGAATAAGAAAAGTGTCCAAAATTTCAATGTAAACTTGTGCATTTATTGAAGATGTAATGATTGCCATCTCCCCCGCGCCTTTACCTGACATGCAGCCCCATATCATCATTGACTGTGGAAATTTGCATGTTTTCTTCGGGCAGTCGTCTTCATAAAATTTCAATGGAACGGCACCAAATAAAAGTTCCAGCATCATCACCTTGCCCAATGCAGATTCGCGATTCATCGCTGAATATCACTTTCATCCAGTCATCCACAGTTCATGAATGCTTTTCTTTAGCCCACTGTAACCTTGTTCTTTTCTGTTTAGGTGTTAATGATGGCTTTTGTTCTGGCTTTTCCGTATGTAAACCCCATTTCCTTCAGGCGATTTCTTACAGTTCGGTCACAGACATTGACTCCAGTTTCCGCCCATTTGTTCCTCATTCGTTTTGTTGTGCATTTTCTGTTTTCAAGACATATTGCTTTAAGTTTTCTATCTTGACGCTTTGATGTCGTCCTTGGTCTACCAGTATGCTTCCCCTTTACAACCTTCCCATTTTGTTTGTACTTTGTCCAGATTTTAGACACAGCTGACTCGGAACAACCAACATCTTTTGCACCATTCTGTGATGATTTAGCTTCTTGAAGAAGTTTTATTTATTTATTTATTTATTTTAACTGCAGACTAATTAGCAAATTTAATCAGATGCAGGAGTTTGTTTAAGAACTGCAAATTACAGGGTGATTCCTTAATATTTTCCTCTGCTTGATCTAAAAAAAGCAATTGTGAAAGACTACAACAATTTTCTTTCTTTCTTTTCTTTATTGTTTCTTAAAGCCAGAAGGTTGGCATTTTAAATAATGATAGTTTTGTGGCATGTCTTTGATTAGCTTTTTTTTTCCTACAAAATGAAACAATTAAATGAACATCCTCCAAGATAGGTGATTCCATAATTTTTGCCAGGGGTTGTAGATCAATAACCTCAGGGGTTGACGGACACTGATGCTTTACATGAAGCACATGTTTATTGCTTATTCTGTGTTAAAACGGTGACAACAGGAACCATAAAACATAGTTCATATACAAGAATACAGGAGTATAAATATAGAATATCTGTACTACAGGGTAGTATTTGAACATTTATCAAAAACACAACAGACACACTCAAAAAAAAATCTTTCACTCACGCACACGTACAAATCACCACAGACGGCGAGAATACATTTACTCACTCATTCACAAGTATCAATGGAAGACCATCTGTGTTTCAAAAGGTTCAGTCCCATCTCAAGTCTTTATAGTTTAGTGCTTAGAGTACTGCTTGCACTCTAGTTTCTTCCTTGACAACTATTCCTCAAAAACAGCCTCCACATCCTACATTTCAAACTGACAAGAGTTACAAGAGGAGTTCAAAAATCAAGGCAGAAAAACAGAGAGATAATCCAACATGAGACGGCTCGTTTTTGTCGCACTTGCTTCCTCACGTGGAGATTCAGAGCCGAGAAATAAGCTCACTGTTCACATTAATACAAAATGTCTCTTAGTGGTGCCGAGTGCAGCATTTTGTTACATCAATAAAAAGTTAACCACATTAACTTTGACACATCACTATAAAGCTACACCACTGACGAGAGGACTGGCGGCCTCTACGATATGGACAGGAGATTTGCCGCATCACTGTACATCACAAGAGGAAATTTCTTTATGGCACAAAAAAGAAGGTGTTTTTGAGCAGAACCAGAGCCAATAAAATCAGTTTTGCAACATGAAAGAATGGGGTTTATGGGAAACATAGTCCACTGAATAACCCCTGCACTAATAAAAGTGTGAAATAGAGACCAACACCCATCCTGCTCTCGCTCTTATTTTTACTTACAATACGTCCACATGGTTTCACAATTCATTTAACAATTATATACTGATGATATATTTAGCTTCTTTTATCGAGACACCATCTGAAGGACATTGTGACATGATGGCAGCTCGGTTGGAGCTGGGAGTATGCAGCTTTCTCTCTCATTGATTGATTACAGTGAGCACTTCGTCCTGCTCTGTTCCACATCTTCTGTCAGTGAGTCCAGTTCGAGACTTGAAGCTGGGCAGGGTGAGTGTTATAGGTACGACAGACGTTCATTAGACACTGTTGAGAAGCAGAACGGTAGTGGCTGTGCTGGGAGAGGAGATTTCGGGGTTAATGTAGTGGGGGTCTTGTTCATCCTCAGAGTCCCCTTGTTTATTTTTAACAGTCAAGGTTAGCTTATTCAGACCGGCCTCCAGCGTGGCCTCTGCTCCCTCTGCTCTGTCACCTGGAACACACACACACACAGACAGAAACGGCATGTGCTGGTTAATAAATATGCAAACTAGGGACACACAGATTTACTTTGTATTGACAGACTAAAATGAAACTTTATTAAAAGCCAAACATTTGCCAGTTAAGTCATCTACCCCTAGTGTTAGTGACATAATGGTGTTTGCTTGCAAATTATGAGACATTTACAGCAGAAATTATTAATACTACTTTAGCTGATTAAGGAAGTGGTTTGGTCAGATTACACGCACGCACACACACATATATATATAGATATATATATCTATATATATATATAGATATAGATATATATATCTATATATATATAGTTCTCACAACTAGTCAGAGGACTGATCTACTGTCTTATTAACAAAATGCACAGTCAGTAGCTTTTCCATATTTCCAAGGAAAAAAATGATGGAGGCCTCAATCAATAATTTTCTAGAAACAGTGGAGTGATATTTGCCTGAAAATGATCACATTTAAGGATGTGTGAACTGACCCTGAACCTGTATATAAATGTACTGTGTGAAATTCTTTAAAATCTGTGATTCATTGCTCACTAAATCTTAAGTGATACTTCAATAGTTCTGAATAATGGTGTCTGATATATGCAAGTTAGACTCATGAATCGACTCGTGACTGAGGTGGCGAATCGATAACACTGACATGATATGTAAAGCATTAATATGAACTGAAACTTCACATTACATAAAGGAAAAGTTCAACATTTTGGGTAATACTGTTATTCACTGTTTCTCAGAATAATACAAGAATGTTGATATATGTACAAGCGTTTGCTTAGCGTAAGTTAGCGATCCTGGTGTAAAGAGCTATCCTGGGTCTGTTCAATGTTCAAAAATACTCCTACTAGTTTTGCCGTTACCCCCTGCCTCCAGTTTTTATGCTAAGCTAAGCTAATCACAGCCTGATTCCAAAGAGAGTGAATAAGCATATTTCCCAAAATGTTAAATTATTTCTATTATGCTCCACTACAAAATTACAAAACATTTCCAACATATTGGATGAAGTATCACATCAACAAACATGTACACACTGATGTGATGAACACACACCTCTCTCCTGGTCGCAGTCTGGAGAGGAAGCTCCACTGCACTGGCTGCGAGGGCCCAGGAGAGGTGAGGCATGCCCAGAACCGCACACTGAGTCTGGGTCATGAGAGCTGCAGGGGCTCAGTAACTCCAGGCCCCCGGGACAGGACGCGGAGAGGACGGAGGACGAGGGAGAGGTGGAGATGTAGGAGTAAGGGGTGTAGAGGGAGGAGGAGGGGTAAGGGCAGGGCATGTCGAGGGGGGTGGAGGCAGATGTAGGAGGATGGGAGGAAGAAGAGGACGGAGAGGAGGGCGTGGCTCGGGCTGAGGAGGTGGAGATAGTGTCGGTCTCCTCCTCTGAGGTGCAACTGTGACTGCCCTCTTCGTCAATTGACACTGACACCACTGAAACACACGTACACACACAGATATGAACATTAAACATGCAGACACACAGACGCACTAACAAAACAAAACAAACAAACTCATTATGTGGATGGATGAAGGGGATGACAAGCTTTGGTTGCGCTCACTTGATAGACCGTCTGACTCCATCTTGAAGTTGGCAATGTCCTCGTTGTCTCCATCTCCCTCCGCACCAACACCCTGCTCCCTGGTTCCCATGGCGAGGGAGCGTCGCTGGGCATGTATCTCCTCAGAGATGCTCTCTAGGTTGCGTAGCGCTGCACGGTAATCGGCCTTAGCAACTACAAGTTTGGCCTGATATTCGTCCACGTGACGCTTTAGTTGCTATGAGAAATTAAACACACCTTCTTAGTAAAACTGTTTGTAGATATGAATTATATTATTTACATTTCGACAAAAAGGAAAGTCCTGGGCTAAGTGAGAATGGCATTCGGCTAAAAGCATCTACTAATTGGCAGATGTTATGCAACTATGCTAAAGTAATGGCTTTAAATATGCACATACCTCAAGCTGTAAGTAGTACTTGGCTTTCAGTTCAAAATATGGCCTGTAGGGGAGAAAAAGAAGAAAAACTAAGAGAGAGGGCGGAGAAACTGCTGGAAGAATAACACTCTTCTAAGAGCAGTCACATTCCTTGGCTCTGACAAAGGGAGCACACCCCAACATTGCACAACCGACACACAAAACATCTGGATTGCATCAAATGACAGAAAGAAAGCCCCTTTTTCTCTCCCGTTCTCAACACACTCATTTGCGCGCTCATATCCAGTCTAATCACAAAAGAAACAAAAGCACAGACCTGGATTTGTTGATGGAGCGTTTGAGTTTCTTCTCTAACTGCCTCATATGGCTGATGCAGGAGTTGTAGTTGGCTGCCGTTTTCTTGTGTTCAGCTTCACTGCGCGTTCTTGCTTGCTCGGCCTCCATCACCTGAAACATATCCAAGAAAGACGGTTTATTTTAACTGTAGAAACCAAGCAAAGGACTGACAAATCAATACTAACATACTGACTAATTGCACTTGCACTGTCAGTAGCAGTCTAAACCTCAATCTCAGGAAACAAATGACTTGCTAGAATGGAACATTTTAGTGTTGCATGTCTTGCATCATGTGCTTTTACCCTCTGTGTAGCATGGTTGAGCATTTCCTGCCAGGCGGAGTCAAACTGGCGGCTGTCCTCCTCTAGCAGCCTCTCCTCTGCGAGAGCGATGGTTTCCTTGGCAGCCCGCAGGATCTCCACCGCCCGCTGGAACTCCTGAGTGGCCTTTTGAGCTTCAACCTGTGCCTGAAGTTCAAAGAGATGGGGACATATAATCACATCAAATGTGGAAACAAGGTTGCTCATGCTTGAAGATACTATTTAAATCTGCCTTCAGGTGCAAGACATCACCGCTGTGAAGCTCATGGTTTTATGATAGACTGAGATTTCACTCGATTCTGATGTCATGAAAAGTGACAAGTGTGAAAAAGCTGACGGAAAGCTTAAATCATGGTATTGTGACAGCTTCAAACCTGTCAAAATGCCCCTGTTGTTTGAATTTTCACATGCGTGTTGGTCCAAAATTCATTCTCACATGGTATGAATGCAGCAGTTGACCTTGTGCTGCTTCGTGTGTGTGTGTGTGTGTGTTTGTAATTTATGACCTATATTTCCTCTGGTGGAACCAAGGTTGATTCCTTGTGACAGCCATAGAGGGACAAAGAAATGTTGCATCACACACACACACACACACACACACACACACACACACACACACACACACACACACACACACAACCATGCCTTGGTACAATAAACAAACACAAGCTTTGTCACTAAGAAAATCTGACACATTGTCTGTGGGCTCTTCCTGCCCACGGTGACAGGCAATGGGGAGGATTATTCGCATCATGCTGAGCATATTTGGACCCACTCTCTCCCCTCTGACAGCTGTGATTTAAAGGTCAGTTTATTGAATAAATACCCAAATTAAACAGTTACAGTAACTCCAATCACACTGCTTTGAATAAGATGAATAAAATCAGGAAAATCTTGGTAGCTGGGTAATTCTTATTTGTAAATCTAATGAAAAACTTTATCTTGGACGAAGATAAAACTGAGCTGTTGAATGTCAACGTTGGCGACTCCCAGGTGAAAATGTCCTGAACACACCAGGGATATGTCTTATACATTCACAGTATTAAAGGCAGGAGAATAAATTCTTCATAAAAGAACTGATTCACTGTCATGCCCATCTTGTAGGTTTCATTTTGAGGAAGTTAAATGTCTGTGAGTGTGAATAACTCTGCTCCAAGTTATTTGACATATAATTTCAATCCCACTTATGCGGTTAAACTTCCCAAACGTCCCTCCTTCCCTCCCTGAAATAAGCTGCTGTAAGTAGTGGGCCAGTCTGCCACTTGGCCCTCTGTAATTGTATTGTCTGTGTGTTTTGACTGTATACTGTAGAGCTACAATAGAAACACAATTTTGTGTTTCTATTCCTGAGTATTTTGAAAAGATTATTGTTGTAGCTAAATGGCCATTTATGACTATAAACCAAACCCATTCATTCCTGTTAGACACACCGATCACTTCACAGTTTCAAACATAAACTTTTTGAAACTTGTTTTACAACATCACTAGCTGCCCGGAGAGAAAACTATGAATTGATCTACACAGATTTAATCATCAGTTACTTCATTTCAAGCACATGCTAATACTTTATGGTGTGTCCATGTCCTATTGTTTAAACTGTAATTAAGAGTAGCAGAGTAGAAAAAACTGTTCCCGTCAGCCTTGAACAATTGTAAGTCGGAGATGGCGACGATTTCGTCCCAGACACGTCAAACAGCCTGTTGGCAGAATGGCTCAAGATGCACCACCAGTGGCAGTTGTATCAAAATAAAATCCAATATTAACACTAACAAAAGCCGTCCCACTCATTTCGAAGGAGCGACGCAATGCTTGTATCTGGTTTTACTTGGTAATGAACTGTTACAAATACATTACACAACAAAAAGCAGCTAATTCCAAAAAGTCAGTGTGGTTCTCTCAGCTGTTTTCTCACAGCCCTTCTGTTACATTAACCTCTGTAAGATGACCTCCCGCCACTGTCAGCCATGTTTACGATAAGGGATCCAACAGTGACGTGAGCGAGCAGACGTCTGCATCTCTTCACACAAAGGTAGGAAATACAAAAACTGGTATCTTTTTGTGTCTGCATAAGCTCGATATCTGAGCGCTACAGTGATTAGATATGTAATCCAAGGTGGTCAAGGCTCCTTCAAGAAGGTGAAGAGATAAAAGACGCGAGGGAGAAGATAACGCTCGCTCTTTGCGTGTAATCTGTGACAAACTGGCAAAGATGTATCACCCTCCTCTTTTGTCTCTTGTCATGACCCATTTCCCAGGCTCAGAGAAGGGGAGGGGCCTGCAGGGAAAACAGAAGGAGGATGATGGATATCCAATGAGGAGAAACCATGAGCAAGGAACAGAGAAGGAACTGAGACTCTAACGTTACATCCGTTAATGTTTGTCGGGTTGGAGATAAAGTCCCGCACAAGTGCCTGTCCTTCACGAGGCTTCCTGCGCACACACTTCCTTTCAGGGTGAGTGTATGCATCCAAAAAAAACTTCAGCGGCAGCTCAGAGTGTTGTCATTACGTAAGCCGACCAAAACACAGTGACCATGTGAGTCTCCAGGTGACAAATCTTTGACACGCTGGTGAGTAACTGGCATCAAAAGTCGGAGAACACAATTTGCCATTATCTTCATGACTCAAAAGCCCGCTGAGTCATGTGACAGCACGCAAATGACGAGCTCTGTCATCAGTTAATTAACTTGATGTCACGGAGACCACATTAACTGACTTGTCTCCAAAGCAAACAAAAAATTGGTTTCAGTCTGAAATACAACCATCACCTCATCATATGTACCATGACAGTTCATAACATTCTTCTGAAGGGTGTTTTTGACATCTGTGTGTCTGTCTGTCTGTATGTGTGTGCGTGTGTGTGTATGTATATGTGTGTGTCTGTCTGTATGTGTGTGCGTGTGTGTGCATGTGTGTGTATGTATATGTGTGTGTCTGTCTGTGTGTGTGTGTGTGTGTGGGGACTCATTTTTAATTCATGTGTCAGACACTGTCACCCTGTCTGACACCACTGTCTCTAGAAATTCACCCCATTTGCAGTTTTGGGAGGTGAGAGAGAGATGGAGGGTGAAGAGGTAGAGAGAGGTTGATGGAGCAGACAGGGAGGGTCAGAGAGGGGATACAGGAGACAGACAGACAGGCAGACGGGCAGTGGTGCAGAAGAGAATGCTGGGTAAAAAGGACAAAGGATAGGACAGTACAGGCAAATTCCTATACACTAACCACGCACCCACCCACCCCCCAGTCTGTTGGAATGTAAGGGGGGAAAACATGGGGGGTTGGGGGATGAGGCTGGCTAATGGATGGGGGTAGGTGCAATATTGTGTGTGTTTGTGTGTTTGTGTGACGGGGTCAATGAGGGGAAGCATTTGAATCCTTTAAAAATAGGTCATGTATTAAATATTAAATATTCATCCATAAATCATGACCAGACAATACGCTTGTTTAACTCGAGGCCTTTATCGGCTTTGCTCTGTTTAAAACCCCCTGATCTTACTGTACACAAAGACACACACGCACACACACACACGCACACGCACACACACACGACTAGGGAGTACTTTTGATCCTTTCACATGAAAGCAGGTACCATCAAAATTCAAAACCTCCCAGTAATCCCCGCCAGTCACGTGTTACCATTGGGAAAGCAGGCGCCACTGGAAGGTACAGTACTGTGTCATATTGCAAGGACACGCTCACAAATACACAACCTATTTCAGTTTGACAGCTCAGCTCTGACACACAAATGTCAGCCCTATGATGAATGACTCATAAGCTCCTTCCTCACTGGCTGGGACAGGGGGGCGCTGGACTCTAAATTTCTGGTGCCATCCAATCAGATCAAAGCCTCAACAGGCTGGAGCAGTTAAAACAGTAAAGGACGTGTCCTACTGGAGAGGGGACATCACAGTTCAGTGCAATAACCACTGGGGAAGTTGCCCTACTTTGCATCTACCTGCAACTGTGCAGCAAGCATGAAACCACAAAGACCACTGTGAAGCAGCAAAGGAAGCAACTATGGCAAGTATAGCAGTATCAGTGCAACTCAGACAATTCCCATTCTCCACACTGAGCTGGTGTGTGTGTGTGTGTGAGACATTAGCTTAGGATACAGAGGTGTGACTGTGTTTAAAAATAGAAACCACGTGACTGAGCTCCCTTTAAGTAGATATAAGCTGAGCTCTTTAAACTTCTCATCGCTAATCTTCAGTAAACCTGCCCTCACACTCTCTGTCTGCCGACCTCAAGTCACTCAATCCAGCTCTCTTCTGCGAATGTGTGTGTGTGTGTGTGTGTGTGTGTGTGTGTGTGTGTGTGTGTGTGTGTGTGTGTGTGTGTGTGTGTGTGTACCTGTCTTGCTACTTTGCGGGCCTCCCAGTACGGCTTGGAGTCATCCACAGCTCGTCCGATCCTCTTCACCTGCTCGTCCAACTTCACCGTTGCTTCCACCAGCACTGCGCGAAACCGCTGACGGCAGTCCTACACACACATACAGCACACACACACTTAGATATGAGATTATAAACTTATCACTCAGCCCACAGTCACAACATTGGTGTGATAAATGAACGTGTTAAAAGAACTTTTGGCTATGCAAACAACATGGCTCCATGAACGGCACTGTTGCTCAGTTGGTCCAGACTGAAATATCTCAACAAGTATCAGATGAGTTACCATGAAAATTGGTGCAGACATTCGTTATTTCCCTCAGGATGGATTGTAACTTTAGTGATCCCATAAATTTTTATCTAACACCACCATCAAGTCAAAATAGCTTACTTTGCTTTATGACAAAATTCCTGCAAAACTAATGTCACTCCCGTCAGCTTCAGTTTCACTTTGTGTCCAGTGCTAATTAGCGAATGTTAGCATGCTAACACGCTAAACTGAGAAACATTGTATCTGCTAAACATCTGCATGGCAGCATCGTGGAGGTGAGCGTGTTCTGAGCACCACTGTTTGCTCCATGGCCGTAGACTCTTAGTCTTGTTATCCTACAGATCAATCGAGGCACTTCATCCAGGTGACATCATTTAGTTGCAAGTCAGTTTTGTGCATTTACTCAGTGTAGTTTCTCTTGTGTTGTAATGTTATAAGCACCAGCCACAAGTCTGCCTGCCGTGCAGCTTGTGCTGTCCGGTTGGCCCTGACCTATTTGGCCCCGTGCCCCCAAAGTGGCTCTGAAACGGCTCTTCTAGTTCAAATCATCACTAAACCATTACCCACATACCAGCACATACAGTACATTATCATACACAGCTGTAGATCACTGTTGCATTTTGCTTCAGTGGGTCTTGTTGCCCTCTGAACAAACCTTATATTCTTTGGTGGTGAAATCATGTATGTTTGCGAGCAATGATATAGCATAATGTGCAACATCTGTGTGTGTGTGTGTGTGTGTGTGTGTATATTTGCGTGCGTGCATGTGTGTGTGTGCATGTTTTGGCAGAGAGCCCTGAGTGGCAGGGCATTTTATCTATGTTATTCATACATGAGGTCTGTTATCTTCTAAACTGTAGCAGTGGCATTGAGGCAGGCCATCTGTTTGAGAGCTTACACACTCACACACACAACACACAACATACGTTATGTGTGTGTGTGTGTGTGTGTATTGTTGTGTCTGTTTGCCAATATATGTTGTAATATATGTTGTAAATTGCAAATTATGGGTTTAAAAGGCAGCAGCACCTGCATCCTGTTCATTAAATCGACAGAGGAATAAAACAGAGGTTAAACAGGGGAAAAGGGAGAGGGTGCTACAGGAAGCACACTTCCTGTGACATCATTACGTTTCCTGACTTCCTCTTCCTGCAACTGAGATGGTGATACAGCACGCAGTCTGAGAGGTAATAATGCCTGTAAGCTATTGCTCATGTATTTTAGGTAGTTAACAGTGACACACAGTCTCAAACTTGCTGTGTTTACCTCTAACAGACACACACACACACACACACACACACACACACACACACACACACACACACACACACAATCTTACGTTTCTGCCAGGGCACATAAGAGGTTTAACATCATGTTGGCAGAGTAAAGAACCTCATATCTCAGCATGGATTTAACCTCAGTTTTTCCTCAATCCTCTGAATCTACTGTACATCGTCCTTAATCAACTCCAGACTCTGCAGGAAAACAGCCTGCAGCGTGCCAGCGGCGCTCTCACATTCTTCAGCTCCTGACTTTCATCTCTGCCTCTTGATGAAACGCCTTCTTTCTCTGTCTATATATTTATATCAGTGACTCTACTGACACATATTTCTTAGAAATAATGCCGAAGCACCATAAGAAAATGTGAATTTTCAGCAGGTAATTCCTTCACACAGATCGGTCAAAATAACCGGGATCTATAATAATTAACCTGCAATTTCCTTGAAAACATGAATTAAGAATATATATAACAATGGTTCCAACACTGAGACTTGTGCATACATACAACTCGGTCCTCTCTCTCTCTGCCTCTCTGTCATTTGTTATATCTATTCCAGCTCTGGATTGTGGAGTTTGGATGAGACTGAAGGTCTAATGAGAAACAGAAGAGGCCTACTTTGAGGAAAAGAAAATCTGTGGCCTGCTTCTGGAATGTTTTTACTTTTGGTGAACAGTAACCTTCTCTGGCACACATTTACATTCAAGAAAAAAAAGAAAAAGGAAAAGAAAAGAGACCTATCATCCATCTTTCTGCTGCTGCTTGCTGCATTTTTCCGCCTGTTTCCTCTTTAAAAGTGTTCAGTTTGTTTTTAAGGCTGAGGGAGTTGCGGGGAAACGAGGAGAGCACTTGAGATTTAGACTGTTCTGAATGTGCCATTCAAATATTATATTTAACATTCAGATCACATGCTTCTTGCAGCACTAAGAGTTCATAAAGTACAGTGCTACTAAGGCGGGGTGGCAGTTTTTCCACATTTTCCCTCAGAAGCAGCTCCTGCTTTTAGAAAAAATTTCCATCTTTGCAAGACATTCCATGTGAACTGTCTCAAAGCAATGACCTCGTTGCTAGGCAAATTCCTGAAACACACGAAATGGTGTTGGAAACGAGATGAAATACCTCACAGCACTGACTGGATTTCTCACTTGTTCACAGTCGAACACAGGATTTTAAGTGTGAAAGTGAGACTTTAATGGCTCCTCGAGATGGGTGTTTGTGCGGTGCAGCTCAGTCACGGCTGGGAGTGTTTACCCCAGCAGGGAGAAGCAGTAATGATTAGGACTACAGTGTTCCTGGTTGGTGTTGCGACTTACCTCCAGCTCACTCTCCCAGCGGTTAATGTCATCTGTGGACTGGTTTAACTTCTCCAGTTCGCCCTGTTTACAGACAACATGGTGTGCAACGTACAGAGAGACAGAGAGAGAGAGAGAGAGAGAGTGGTTAGAACAGATTGTGTATCTGGAGGGCTAAACTGTGTGACTTCAGTTTACCAAATTACTGAGCATGCAGCCTCGTGTGTGTGTGTCTGTGTCTGTGTGTGTGTGTGTTGGAAAACGGGACAAATTCTCTTAAATCGATTTGAGACAACCTCACAACATTTTAATGCATGACTAGAAACCACAGTTGACAGATTATGCAATTTAATTAGCATTTAATTACTTTAAATGGCACTGTAATTGCTATAGTATAATATCAACACTGTATAATTGTAATATCTTACATTTTATTGACAGAAAGTACTACACTGAATGTGGGGTTAAATGTTTTTTGAAATACTATTCGAAATATTTTCCCTCTAATCAGAGAGTTCTTCACATTAGGCTTCACATTTTCATTTCAATGTCACTTTGACCGGTGGCCACATCTGGATCCATTAATAAGAAAAAAAAATCTCACCTGAATTCTTGGGTCTACTTCTTCTTCCTCCTCAGCACACTGCGAGTCCTCTTCACAATTATTCCCACTTCGTAAAGGATCCATTTTCAGGATTTCTGGGGATTTTTGGCGAAAGAAAAAGGAGGGTCTGCTCTGCAAACAAAGCGCGACCCCGGGGTGCCGGACAGCGGGAGGGGGGTCCAGCAGTGGTGCGCCCTCTTTAACCTTTACGCAGGGCGCATTTCATTCTTCAAGCTTTTAAAGGCGTCAGTGGGTTTGAAGGAGCAGAGGACTCCGCTGTCTGCACAGGAGCGCGTCCGGCCGCAGGGAGATCCGACTCACACTGTGGAGGATCACAACCTCTGGTATCGACAGCAAACGAACTGTGGAAAAGACAGCATGAAACTGACTGTATTTGTCACCAAGACTACTTCTGGTTTGTACTTTCAAAATAAAAGCCACGAGGAACACAACCGTGGGTTTACAACTCAAAATACCAGCAGACTGGACCACACAGGCCTATGATACCAAGAAATAGCCTTATAGGCTACGTCAAATGAAAGTCACCTGTTTATTAGAGACGCCATTAGCAGGCCTCCTTCTATATGAATTTGCTGAAGTTATTAATGTCAATAATTTTGATAATCAATTAATTGTTTATGTCATTTTTTTCAGCAACAGAGCCAAAAGGTATCAACTTCTCAAATGTGACTGAAGCATCGACAACTTATGATTAGTTTAGTCTGGTACTATTGCTCAGTAAAGGACCTGACAGTCAATTTAGGAGTGACAGATTCTAGTCCTGTGTGTGGACTTTGTTTAGACTACATCATGGTCTGTCACTTTATTAAACTTTATTTAGTTAATATGAAGTTGGATATGGATCTTCCTTTGTTTCGCCAAATCACGATTTTATTTTGACGGCGACACTCGCTCAAATTCTCCGGTCCTTGTGCAGCTGTGTGTTTGCAGCTTGACGCAGCGCCGACACGGGACTGAGAGTTGGTTTCCTTCGCCCTCTGGTGGTGAGGGCTCCTGGGAGCAGGCAGGGAGGGTCAGACTGGAAGCATGATAATGGCAGCAGCCTAGATTCCTGTAAACACTGCAGACAGAGAGTTTATGTAGAAAAGTGGTTCCCACGAAGTTAATTTTTTTTTCAGGAGTCTTCAGTAAACAAAAACAACACGATAGTTGAACTGCTCATGGTTTCCATCAGTGGATTTAGTGATGATTCACATCCTTTTGCAGGTTTTCAGAGTCAGCCTACTCTGCAGCCATAATGGAAATGAATGTACCACTAAACGTAGGCTAGAGCCTGTTACACTGGTCGTATTCACAGGATACTAATGATTATAAGAGGGTAGAAGATCACTTTGAAATGATTGTTTTGTTTGATTAAAGTTTTATTAGAACATTATAACATATGTAAATCATTCAAGATTCAAGACCTTGATCATTATTCGCCGTGGAAATTGAAGTTTAATAAACTCAAAATCAGATTTTGTGACCATTATCAGCAGATGTGTCTCAGCTGTGTGAAACCATGTATCAAATTATTATAAATATTACTGGGGTTTAAAGTTCAAGCTTTTGATAAGCTACTATAAAAATAAAGTTATGTGGGAAAATGCCTTTGTGATTTGGGTGATCCTTCAATGACTCATTTAGATAAAAATATGTCAGAATTTGTCATTTATTAGATAATGTTTTATACTGTGTCCTTGTGTAATGTTCTTGTAACAACTCGTCTGTTGTTTGATTTCGTGCCTCCTTCATGATGTCAGTAGGTAAAATGATCACTACACTCATTTCGCCTGCAGTGAGAAAGTTGGGAGTAGGCCTATACAGCGCCTCAGATATGGACGGCTGCCCGGCTCCACAGTTCGTCATCGCGTTTTTTCCAGCGTCCTCCTGCGTATGCATGTATGCGACCGACGGGCTGATTTCATAACGTGGGGAGGAAGAGAGGAATGGGGCTTTGAGAACGAATGAGCACCAGACCAGGTAGGCTCTATGCACCAACAGTGTTAGGCTATCTCTATTCCCGGGCCATGCAGACGGTGCGCTAGAGGAGATGCGGTAGTGGAGGCTGCTGATGCTGCTGTCCGATCAGCTGTTATTTGTGTCTTGAGCATCATCGCCGTGACGGCCACAGAGATCGAGATCAAGCTCCGGAGCCAGGGACACCGCAGACCAGATAACAGAGGATGGAGTTCAAGCATCTGGTGGAGGCGGCGGAGAAGTGGTGCTCCGGTAACCCGTTCGACCTCATCTTCGCCGAGGAGGACGACGAGAGGCGGCTGGACTTTTACGCAGAGCCCGGCGTCTCCTTCTACGTGCTGTGTCCCGGAGGCACCGACAGTTTCGTAAGTGAGCTTCTGCAAGGCCTCTAGCGTGTGTGTGTGTGTGTGTGTGTGTATGTGTGTGTGCCCGCGCGCGCGTATGTGTATGTGTGTGTTCTTATAGGTGTGGGTGGAGGTGGGGTTGTCCCTGCTGCTCCCGGTTTTCCAGCTGATGGACATGGGAGAAGGGAAGGGAAGGGGAGGGGGTTTGGCCAGGAGGGGAGGCGATGATGTCATTTCAGTTTCAGTGCCCCCCACCCCCCACCTCCAATTCCTCTGTCGATGGTGTTTTTTCCTCCATCATAATCAAATGCGATAACCCTCTGAAACACCATCATGCTAGCCAGGTTAGAAAACCATGAGGCCTATAACTTTCAAAATAAAAGTCTTACAGACAATTATCCTGTGTTGCATTTAGAACAAAAGCAACAAAATAAAATAAATATATATTTCTGCAGATCAAAGAAGAAAATCATTTATTATTTTCTCCTTAACTGTCATTACATTATTTTTTTTTATTTTTAGCCATGAAAGAAAGTGCTTGTTGCCAAAAAGCTCAAACTCAGATAGGCCGCTTCTCTCCATAGTTAATCCACTGACTTATAAGATTCTGGAGGTTGATGTCCTGCAGACAGTCAATAAATATTTAACAAGGAACGCATTTTCACAGCTTTATTTTGAAGGAATTGGTGCCAGTTTTCTGCTCTGATCCAGGACAAATGATCCCAGCGAAACCCCACTTATAATGTTTGCCTAGACACAAATAAAATCTGTAACATTTACTTTTAAATGATTTTAAATCTATTGATTTAACTGTTCAGTCATATTTTCTTTCATTTATAGTTTTAATTCATAGTTTAGTTCATTTCATCTCCCCACATGATAATTTAAATGATGTTTCTAAGTATTCCTCACACTGAAATGGTGGGAAAATCCCTTTATATTTACCTTTCTTTGCTTAAAACAGTCACATTAAAAGCCTTTGGCAATATCAGAATCAGCCGTAAAAACACCACATGCAATTTGTCTACAATTGTTGTTGATTTTTAAAATTCCCTAAACTCCAAGAAACAGTACTGAGAATATGAGCTCCTGCTCTCATCATCTACAGACTGTCTTGACACAGCTCACTGGCTACATCCTATACCGGTGTGGTGCAGTGGTGGTGTTATGAGCCCTAAAGCTCCTGAGGCCAGACCCCGCCCTGCTCCCTCCTCCTGCTCAGTGACAGGGGCTAACAGGGCGGGTAGCAGATGGAGATGACCCAGGAGCCAGGGCGTCTGTTCAGTCAGTAACACATTATGTCACACCACGCGTGCCAGTGTTATGTGTTTGCAGGCCTGGTTTGGACTGTCCCACAGACAGCAGAGCAGGGTTGCTAAAGCAGGGGCTTTCCATGGCTCCTGATCAAAACCAGAAAATTATAAATCCATCACAGTAAGAATATCGCTCCAGGGAGACAACACAGCAAAGGATTAAATAGCACAGTCATATGCACAAAATGCAAGTATATAAATACATCATGTGGTTTGTTCTCTTCAGAGCCGGCTCTTTCCTCTTTTTGTTTCTCTTTATCTCCCTCTTAACTCTCCGTTTTCTATCCAACACAATAACACACACACACACACACACACACACACACACACACACACACACACACATATTCAAGTTCTGTCTGCTATGCACTCTCAAATTAGCTAGAATAACTCTCTGTCTCTCTGCAGGACTCTTGAGATCTGGTTACACTTACTCAATCAATACTGCTATCAGCAGGACGTCTCACATGTTGTCTTTCTCCCCCCCGTCCTTCTTTGTCTCACACACACACACACACACACACACACACACACACACACACACACACACACGCACATGCACGCACACACACACACACATTCCCTGTCAGTTTATCTTGTTTTTCCCAGATCTGTGTGCCACCCACAGCACCAGCTTGTCCACTAGAGGGCGCTGTGAGATCAGGCCCACCATGATAACAATACAGCTGCACATCACTGTGCTCAGCTCTGTAATTTCCCTCAGGGTATGTCTTAGTAGTTTTCAGTAATCCAGGTCATGTGGTCATACAGTGCTTAGCAGCTGAAAAACAACAATTGGATTTACAGTGTGGCCTTGAAAATGTTCCTCTGCTCATCTGAGTGGCTTCGCTGAAAGGTGCGGTTAGACAGTGGAGTGTGCAGCGGAGACACAACCTCATGGGAGAATCCATCCATCACTGTGATACTGGAGCAACCATCCCTGAACAGGCAGAGCAGGAGAGCGTGACACTACTCCTGTAAACACTAGTAACACTTTTACCTGAGGCTGTTTCACGCCTTTTTCACATGACACACTCTCGTGTGACCCTATGAAACTGAACCTTAAATTCCATTAGTTTACTCATTAACAATGACGGAATTAAGGTATTTTAATGTGAATTTAATGGAACAATTAGTGAATCATCTAATGGATTTAAAACTAACTTACAATAAAAACCCATTAAAATGGCACAAAATGCATGAAAACCATCCCTGAATCCCTGCACTTTAAAAATGCTTTTATTTTCAGTTAATTCTAAACCCTTTATCACATGCATATAATCAATTTAAAAATACCTTAAAGTGTTACAGTCCATTATTATCATTAGTTATCCCCAATGAATTTGCACCTGAGGTAAAATTATGGTCCTTTCAGGATAGAAATGGGATGCATGTAATGTCATTTTGTACATTTAATGTGTTTTCTTACCTTTCAAACCCCCTTAAACTGTGCATATAACCCATTAAAAATACCATAACATATCACAATCCTTTGATGTAAACACATTCAAAGCGTAATTATACTAATGATGTTCGGAAACTGAACATCATTCATTTTCACCTGAAAACACTTAAGAACTTTATCTAATCTAATGATAATTATCAAGATGCTGGATCACCCAAACTTCCACTACAACTGACACAGTGAGAGCATCTGCTTTGTTTTACACCAGCTAGTTATTTACTCTAGGTCAGTCTGCACACTTGGCCAGATATCCCTAATAACATTACCTAATACATAACCTAACAGTTTGGCCTTTAGACTCCAATTAAACAACACTAAAACAAAGTGGAATTGTGCCAGCGGCCTGTCCACAGCAACAATTCCTGCAAGTGCTTTGAGGTCACCCAAAACTTCCACTAATGAAGACGTTAATTTTAATCCAACTCGACCTTTTATGTGTGATATCAAGGATTTATCATCAATTACCACTGTTTTATTGGCCATAAGGATGCAAATATTTTCCTGACCTTGCCTTTTGGTTTTAAACCGATCACATCGCTCAGACTATACAGGCCTCCAGGTAAGAAAGAGTTATCTCGACTAAAGCACAGTGTTGCCACATGTGTGTATGGACGTTCGTCTAATGAGTGTGTCTAAGAAAACAGCTGTCTTGTCGTTTAACTCTTTACAATAAGGAACACAAAGTCCTGAACAATGACTTCCTGAATAACTGTGTCATTCATGAACTACTGGTGCATTCCCAGACTCAGTAGCTTCTTGTTGGGTGGGATACTGGTGGGATACTGGTCGACTTTCCTAGACTGGACACAATAATTGTATGTAATGAGGGGAATCAGCCAATCATTGTAAGTAATGATGCATTTCTCTGAACAGGCTATTGTATTGTATCTGTGTAAAAAGGAAATCATGATTAGTTTTGATTTTGGTTTATTGAGCCTCTGGCCTCTGATTGGATGATTCATGGAGCAAGTGGTTAGTATGTAGACTCAGATAGGAGTTAATCATTTGACACTGGCTCATTAACATCCTGTCTTATGTAACTTATCATTATCTACGATGTACAACTTGATTTAAATTTATCAAAGACCTACTTGCTTCGTCTAGCACTTTGTTATTAACCCAGTCGGTTCTTTTTATGTTCCTTGGTAAATATCCAGGTCTTTGTGTATCTCACTGCAAAGTGTCACCACTGTTTGTATAATTTTCATGCCTTTTTTTGCTCCATGTCCTTGAAGAAATGTCTCTTCAACCGGTTTAATTGCTTTGCTCTAGTTTTTCTGTGCAGCGTTGCCCGTATTTACTCATTAATTCCTGTAAGTTGTATGTCACTCTACAGCCCACATGAGGCTACATAGATGGAGCAGGTGTGGCAGCGCTGCACCACCTGGTATAGTGTTAAACCTGTACACCCTTAACATAGTTTATGCAGCGTTTCCTTTATCACTGCTTGGAAATAATGCAATGGGTCTGATGTTTGTTAATCTATGTGTGTTTCTCTGTGTGTGTAGCATGTGTGGAGCGAGAGTGAGGACTGCCTTCCCTTTCTACAGCTGGCCCAGGACTACATCTCCTCCTGCGGGAAGAAGACTCTTCTGGAGGTGCTGGAGAAGGTCTTCACGTCCTTCAGGCCTGTAAGGAACCAAAGAGCAGTAAAGCTCCGGGAGTCACAGTTTACTCTTTCACTCTCTGCTTGCTGTGTCTGGGTTTATTATAATCCTGATACATTCTGTTCTCTGTGCTACAGACAAAACATCATGTCGAACTCCTCTCTGAACACTGACGTGTTCTTATTTCTTATCAGACAGCTAATGATACAAAACCGGAGCAGGATATAGACCATGATATGAATTCCTAGAATATAAGGCTTCTTTCACAACGAACAACAAATGCTTTAATGTATTCAAGTTCAAGTTCAGCTTTGTTGTCATTTCCACACATATCACTATGAAACTGAATCTTTAAATCCTATTTATCTATTAATAATGATGTGAATCCAGCTTTGTTAACAGTATGTTTATGGGCCAATTAAGGAATAAATTAAATTAGGATGTAATATATTATTGACAATATGTATTTTTTTAAAGGAATGTGGTTTAAGAGGTTTGTAAAGAGCAAAACTCCCTAAAAATTAACCTGATGTCATCATCACTTTATTCTAAGATCTTACAAAGGGCCTTTATCTCCTAGTTAGAATGAACGTTCAGGGATAACTTTCATGCTTTTTGGTAACTTTTAAAGGGTTTTTACCCCATAGACCATGCTCATAATCCATTAAATCAACTTAATGTATTACAATCCTATAATGTATCCATTAGGTTACCTCAAAGATGGAACAGGGGATTTGCAATAATTTACCCCAAATCTGGGTGAACCGATTAAATACATGAATAATAGATAAATGTTTATCAAATATAATTAGTTTACACCTGAAAATACCCCTAATGTAAACCAAAACCCCCACCTCAAGTCAATAATTGATGGATTTGTCACCTATTTCAAGTCTAAATTAAGGAGAAAGTCATATATCCATTAAATGTTCTCTGTGTGTTGCCTTTAAGGTCTTTCCAAATGAACAGAGATTTAGCAAACAGCATGATTTAGATTAAAGGAATAGTTATATATTATATGAACTGGGTTAATTTGCTCTCTAGCCCAATAATACCACTGTCATGTCTGTATGCTGGTTAGCACAGCTTAGCATAAAGACTGGCGACAGGGGGCAACAGTTAGCCTGGCTCTCTTCTAAGGTTACAAAAGCTGTCTACCTGAAGCTCACACATTATATCAGTGCCACAGTAACTCCCCCGCGGTCGCAGCTGCTCGTCTGGCAACCTTACAGTGACGGCAAGACTCCAGGAAGTCACTTCACCCCGCCAACAAACAGTCTCACCCATTACCCTACATGGAACCGCAACACGCTGCTTTTTCTAACCTCGGTTTTGTGATGATTATACAAACGAGAAATAACATTATTTTATTAGTGAGCTTTAGAAGTGCTGCAGCTTCATACTGTGCTATCAATCTCTGCATCTGGCTCTCAGCATTCCCTCAGAGTCAGACTATTCCTTAACAGTGTTTGGTGTGTTTTTCAGGAGTAAATAAAAAATTCATCAAATTATATCGGGCCATTTGCACACATACACACACTGTAATGTCTAATGTCTCTAACACAACCTCCTCCGTCTCTCTCTCTCTGTTAGCTGCTGGGTCTTCCAGACCTAGAAGACGACAGCTTTGAGCATTACCACACTGACATGGAGGGGGAACCGGGGCCCGACCAACAGCAGATGGGGGTCAGCCAGCAGTGATGAGCCCCAAGAAGAGGCCTGCAGCCGAGGCAGAGCTGCCTATGAGCCCAGGGCCTCGACTCATCAGCCCAAACACTTAACAACACACACTCTTATCCAAACACACACACACCCACACACATACACACACACATACTTAACAGTCAACTTGCTAAAAATGCACCACCATGTTCTTGAATGTCTCAGTGGCTTTGCTTCCCAAAGAGTGCACTCTGTTGCACTTTGTTGACCCCCTACTAAAAACACACTCACACTCACACTCACACTCACACACACACACACACACACACACACACACACACACACACACTGACATTAGGGCTACGTGAGCTGTAGCCATGTACAATGCAAGAATCATAATCATTCACCATTTGGTTAGTTAAAGTTCCACAGCACAGCAATATTACATCGGCCTCAGCTGGCTTTGTTATGCAGAAATACAGTCAGATGTTACCGCAATACACACTTTCCCTGTGGCTTTGGAGATGAATGTGACAGATAACCTACTTTCTCCGCGTGGCTGTTAGCACGGAGGATACATGAGAGCGAGATGAAAGATGAATGGGTGAAAACTGACGGTTTGTGGCTGCCTGTGAGGCAACTGGAGTGACGCAAAAAGAGGCGAGGAAGGAGGTTGTTTTAGCAACGAAGAGCGGTAAAACGTTCCACTTGATGGAGGGAAAGAAGGAGGGAAGTGAGGATGTGTAGTTGTGATGTGGAAGTCAGGTGAGGCAGCTCTCAGTCTTAGCCTGTTTTAAACACACTGTTATAATAGTTGTATAGGTTACAGTCAAAAGCATTTCACACATTCGCTCCTCATGTGGAAAGTGTGCAGCTTTACAGTAGCATGGGTCATATTTTTGGAGGTGTGTCTCTTAGTGTTTCCAAGAGTTAGAAGTCACTTTATGAAGACGTTTTTAATCAGTGTTACTATCATATGACCATCACAACAAAGGCTCATGCTGCAGCTTAAGCCCTTCCTGGTTTGGGTGTCTCGTCGTCACATGACACTCTTAGTTCCTGTAGTCTTCCTGGTTGCTGGTGGTTCACAGTTTACCCTCTTGATGAGATACACTCCTGAAATTAACCCCCTTCTCTTTTTGCGTGTGTTGTTTTGAATTTATCTGCTTCTTTCGAGGTTTTCGCCTGACCATGAATTTAACGAGTGCACACCCAAACCCCAGAGTGATATCACAGGGAAGAGAAAATATTTGTCGTCAGCCTCCCTTTGCCTACCCTGTAATTTCTAATCTGACAGTGTGTTTGTTGTATGTCACATCCAGTGCACTGCGATGCTTCAGGCCTCCCCCCCCTTACCCCTCCCTCGCCTTCAACCACTCGATCCACATGCGAGACTGCATCAGATTTATCTTTATCTTTAGCCTGTTTACTTTGGCTTGTAAATGTTTTTGTCTTTTTATTGCCTCTTTGAATGTTTCTCATGCAGTGTATCTTCTGTTTGCCCTCCGATGTGTGTGAAATTGTTCAATAAACCGTGTGAACAGAGCGAGTGTTCCACAGGCGTGTGTGTGTGTGTGTTTTTTTTTCTTAATGGCCTGGAGTTAATGGCACACAAAGCGCTCAACATGGAGGGCCGTTCATATCACACCGCGGACTGGTGACCTGCCGCTGTGCCAACAGCCCCGCTGGTGTTACTGGGCTTGACGTCACTCGCCACCTGACGCGCCCACTCAAGGCTGCGTCAAGCTGAAGTCTGAGGAGGTCAAGACCGGAAGCAATGATCAGGCCTTCGAAGTAAAAGCATTGATGGTAATAGTTTAAGTAATAGCTAAAGAAAAGACATAAAGGTTTGCTCAGTATAGGGTACCAGATAATACCGAGCATTTATTTTATAGACACAAAGTTGTATTCTTTCATCACAGTTACTTTTCAGTCATTTTGTTTTTTTTGCACAATTAAATACTTTTACTTTGAAGGCAAATTGACCTTGTCCTGGTGGGCTTCGGGTGGTTTGACGGAGCTTCCTCGCAGAGGGAGGAGGGCAATCCCTGCTTTTATTTTTCTTTCCAGACGAACACAGTTGAGCACAAAAACAAACTTGAACCAGACGAGCTGTGGGGTCAACACTCGAGCTTATGTGTTCGTCTGAAGCGGAGGAACTGAGGACGTTTAACTGAAGAGATTTTTTTTTTTTTTTTTTAATTTTCCATTGTTGAAAAAAGGGAAGGGCTCTGCCAAAAAAAAACCCCAAAAAAACAACCATTTGGAAATTAAGTTGTGCGTCAGTGAGTGCGCACTTTACGCACAGGGCGCAGCATGAAACTTTGAGATGTTGGATCACCTCGCCTTTATTGCTGTTCGTGCGTTAGGTTTTATTTCCTTTGTTGGTGTCAGCTCTTCAGGACTCACTGCGATCATGTGTCGTGGCTAAAAACTTTATAGCGCACTCAAAAACCCTGAGGAGGAAAACCTGAGACAGCATGGGGGCCAAACAGAGCAACCCTGTATTTGATGGTAGAACTCGGGCTTATTCCAGCTCCGATCTCCCATCTGGAAACTCCAGCGGCGGGGAAAGGATTGCGGGGTTTAGGTACACAAATGGACCCGATGGCCCCCGGATCCGGTACACGGGTGCAGGGCCAACCAGCTCCGGGCTCAGTATACCGGCCGGCGGCAGGTCAGGGTCTCACGGACTCAATCAGAGCCTCGATGGCACGGATGGTGACGATGAGGGCCAGCTGCCTCCTGAGGGCCACAGGCTGCTTATAGGGTCTTTACCGGCTCACCTGTCCCCTCACCTGCTGGGAGGTAAGACTGTAACGCATGAGTTGTAAATTCAATCCAACAGTAAACCTATAAAACATCTGGAAACGTCACATTCTTACGAGTAATACGTTACTGCTTATTACCTTTAAAGGTATTTTTAATTTCCTGATTTCGTCATTGTTCCGGAAGTACACACTGCCTGTGTATAAAGAATAGTGAGTTCAGACATACTTTACTCCAACTCTTTAACTATTTATAGTGTTCATTGTTCTTAATACAGACTTTATTGCCCTTATGTCATTCCACTTCCATGCTTTACCTCATGTGGCAGAACGGTAATATTTCAGCTCTTTTCAGCTGTTTGTTTAGAGTCAACATGTTACTTCATGTTTGCTACCATATGTTTATGACACTGCTACAAGAAACCATAAAGAGTAAACACATGCGTTGTCAGAGCCGCTTAGTAGTTTTCCATTTGACATGTGATACCTGGCATATAGTTCTAACTGTCTGATGACTGAGCCCTTTGTTTAGCACTTCTGCACTTTTCATGGAGCCACAGGTGGCTCTGCTGCACTGAACTGCTGTTTTCAGCAGTCCTTCTTCTTCTTCTTCTTCTTCTTCTCTGACTTGCAAAACTGGCTTGTTTTTCACCCCTGCTAAGAGGGAAGAGTGCATTATGTAGGTCAGCAGATAAGAGCTTCCTGCTGGTTACACATTGTCTGACACACACACACACACACACACACACACACACACACACACTCACACACACACCACACATGCACACAAACTTCCTGAATCCACAAGTCTAGCTGTTTCACAACTGGTGGGTTGTCTCCAGACCAGACCATAACATCAAACTAACATAACAGGACCATTAGACTCCTCTAACATCCATGTCACTGAAGAGCAAAAGATCTAACCCCCCCCTCTGGTTACTGGCACAGATCACTTCCTTGATGAGCAAGTGTAATCATTTGTAACCTCATCAATAAACTTTGCCCATCAGATACATGTGATCTTGACTGTGCAGGCCTCACCCCACCCCCTACAAACACATGACACAAACATAAGGTTCACAGCAGAGATAATGACTACCTACAAATAGGTTGCATTTGTTATCCTTTTCTTGACCGCGGTGTTATAACGTTAAACAGCAGGTTAGCTTATCTCAGGTCAAGCAGCTCCTGGCCTGTTAATCTTTGTGCAGCTGAGAAGATGTGCAGGGTCGGGAGGCCGAGTGAATCTGTTTCGAATCATGAATTAATGAATCTAGTTTAATACATAAAGAAATTCACAGATACAGTGCAATAAATACTGAAGCGTCTCAGCTTGAGGATGTGGTCACAGCAAAGACACCTAAAGATTGTGTATGATTTGGTAAGCAGATTGTTACAGATTGTTTAAAGCAGACAGAGAGCTGGTAAGTGCATGCAGGTGTTAGGACCTGTGGGACTGTTAAAGACTGTTGCAGATCATGCAGGCAGTCCCACGCCCCCTCTCTTGTGTACATATCAATAAAAGGTTACGAGAGAGACGCCGGCACATCTGGGTCCTCATGTTCTTGTCTTTGTGTTTTTCCTCCCAGGCTTCCACTGTCCTGTCTGCTCCAAGATTATGGCGTCGGATGAAATAGAGAAGCATCTGCTCATGTGTTTCAGCAAAACGCGCCTCACCTACAACAGTAAGAGATCAGGACTGAAAGTGCACAAGTGATTCTGAAAGTTGAAGTGTATGGTGTTTGGTTTTTAGCCACAGCCACCTGTTACACCCCCCAGTCCTCAGTTTTACCCATTCACTTTTGCTTAAAATAGACACACAAAACAACATGTGAAACTGAACATTGGCAAAGGTAAATGAAGGTGCTTCAGAAGGTAGCAGTACCACAATGGTTATATCATTGAATATTATTGTGGTTTCCAATGTTTTTGTTTTGTGACCCCTTAAAATGAATAGATGTATTGTTTACTTGCAGCTCCACACCACAGGTCATATGTGTTAGTGTGGACTTGAACTGAAGGCAGTTCAAAAATCCAAAGAGTGATTTTTCATCCATAGATTTTGTGTAAAAAATATTGTTTTTTGCTTTTATTATTATAATTGATTATTACCTCTAATGCATTACTTTGCTGCATTGTAATGGTATGGACCTATGTTTAATAACTATAATTTACTAGCTAGGTAGTTTAATCACAAAATATGCATCATATTTTCATCAAGATCATTATAGGTTTGTTAATCTTAATATGCAAGGTAACTATTAACTCTAGCTGCCAAATAAACTTAATGGAAAAGAAGGTACAGTATTTCCCTCCGTAAACATCATGGAGTAGAAGTATAAGGTAGCACGGGAAGGAAGTAATCAAGTGTAAGTACCTCAAAACTTCACTTCCTTAGTCAAAGCTTTTGCCATATTGTTCCTATAAGTGGGGATGAAAATGAATTTAAAAATGTGTTGTATTAAATGGTCTTCAGATAGATTGATAAAGTATCTTTTAAGGAACTCCTAATCCATATAAATGTGTCTGCACCAGCATGTTATACGGTGCAGCATGAAAACATCAAAGCTAACGCAGCTGCACAACTATGCAGCCTTTCATAGGCGTGAAGACTGACTGTGTGAGCACCTGTATTGTGCACGCCCATCTATATGTGCACACACAAGAAAGGCAAACACATCTCCTCTGTAGACACTAGGTAGTGTCACTACACACACTTTCTGTTTGTTGAGACTCCCTTGCCTTGACAGTGTTGCATGTATAGAAACAACAGTAGATTGCTATTCATCTTTAATTGTTGATGCATGTGCAGACACATACACACACACAGGTTGCACACACGTACAGCAACATAAACATACAGTACATATACAATATATGTAAATATATATATATATATATGTATATTTAGTTACTCCTTGGCCTCAGGTATTGACTGTTGGGCCTATCACAGCTGAATATGCAGATTAACATGTGACACAGAAAAGAAAACCGTTGTTACCTGTTCTCGGTTTCATCTCGGTTTTATCTGATCAGAGATTCAGTTTTCTCTTCCTGTTTTTGAAATACACTGCTGAATTTTCATACAAAGAATAAAAAATTGAAACTGCGTTCTATAAAAACACAACCTATCCTGACAACAGACTGCAAATATACTCCACACTGTAAGAGGAAAACACCAGCTCTCATCTGTGCTCAGATATTCTGGTACCAAAGGTTAAACAGATGGTTATGCAGCACTCAGTGCTTGAACTGAACATTTGATACAAGGTTTGGTGTGCGAGACAGCCCTTTGCTCAGTTTGTCTCTGTATTGTCTTTCTCAGAGGACATCCTGTCCAGACACTCTGGGGAATGTGCCATCTGTTTAGAAGAGCTGGAGCAGGGAGACACGATTGCCAGACTGCCCTGCCTCTGTATCTACCATAAGGGGTAACTAACACACACAAACAAAACACAAATAAATAGATTTTAGTTTGAAATAGTTGAGCAAATGGATAAAATACACCAGATGTGGTTCATCAAACTCTGGGCAAGAAAGCAAATAAGCTTATATCCAAAATGTCAAACTATTCCTTTAATTTTCTTTACAGACCATAACTAGAACAAGTGATACCATAATGCATTGTATCGCAGTTTATTTGAAATTATTCCCTGTTTCTCTCCCTTCTGCACATGGCCAAAGATAAAAAGATGTTAATGCAAAACATTTCCAATCTTTTTGTAGAAATCCTAAAAATGTGAATAAACCAAATCAAACAGGTGACACCCATCTTAGACAGTAATGAAAAAAAACAAGTGATACAATATATGTTTGTTTATAATTACAATAACCAACAAATATCTCTCTGTCCTGTTTGTATAATGTGTGACAGGAGTCTCAACTTGAATAAAAGTTAAAAAAAACTACAATTTAACCATTTATATAAAGGATTAGTTTGTCATTTTGGGAAGTAGAGTAAATATGAAAGTACCACCATCTTTAGATAGTGTATCTAAATCAGTAAAGAGAAATTTTACTGCGATATCTAAATGTAAATCCAGCTCAGTTTTTATCTTCCTTTGACCACAAGAGACAAACGTCCCTGTTGTCCTCCTCTTCCTGTTTCAGGTGTATAGACGAGTGGTTCGAGGTGAATCGCTCGTGTCCGGAGCATCCTGCCGACTAGGAGCTGCAAGAGTACAGTTTCAATCAACTGTACATCACGGCGGTCGACTGCGTGCCCCGATCTCATCCCAACACTGTCTGTTCCAGCCGAGCATCAGCGCTCCTCAGGGATTGTAAGACATTATTGTGTGCAGGATTTTTCATATTGCCTCATGGAACTGCGATGGACTTTGGATATGTTTCTCTAGACGTCGTGGATTGCTCAAAGAACCACTGGTGGAGTCATTTTGTCTCCTGAAAATATGTGAATGTTTCTTATGCCACCTGCTGGACTAAAGAGGTTTCATGCAACATGGGATGTGAATTGAACTGTTTTGCTGAACAGGGTGTGGTTGTATAGCAGAAGACCTGTATAACCAACATGGTGGAAGAGTCTCTTTTCAGCAGAGATTTAGATTGATGCCTGTTCAAAGACTTGTTCGGAAAGCTGAAGGCTGATGTTGTGCAATGTGAAACAGCCATACAGAATTAAAAAAAATGCCAATATCAGCTTTAAGGGATGATTACAGTGTTGATGGTAGTCAGGAAGTAGATGCTGGATTTTTTTGCAAAATTGGCTTTCACTATCGTTTGTTAAACAATCATCTGTCCTAGACCAAATAGTCTAACATGAAATAGTTGGACGTTGTTAATCATTTGGCCATTCAGAACCACAGTGATGTGATTGTGTAGTTTAGTGGTGAAATTAAGGATAGGTTGAGACATATCTAATGATGATTCATACTCTCTCTAAGGAGTGCCATAATATGCTGCTATGTCATAGACTGGAAAGTTTTCCTATAACCTTTGGACCGTTGTTCATTGTACTGTGTATTTGTACTGTAATGAATTGCACAACAATAAATGTTTTGTCTTATGTCTCTTTCTTGTGTAAGAAGTATTCTTTATACTTCTATATATCTATATACTAATTAAAATAGGTCATCTTCCAATTTAAAATTCAGTGGGAGTGTTTGACCCATGCATTGTTTCTGTCTGATATGGATAGATGAGAGAAAGATGAGAGGAAGGAGGGAATTCAAGCAACAAATTCATTTTAAATATATATATTTTTGGCATATATACTGTGGATGAATAATTTATACATAAAGTCTGCACTTTGGCTTGGAAATCATTATAACTTGCCAAAAATAACACAAAAGTTTAAAGGCATCATCACCTTTCAGTATTACAATCCAAAAACAAAACATACGATTCTTGATTTTCTATCAGCCAAGAGAAGGCAGTGAAGATAAGTCTCCCCAGAATTGGGCATGCAGGGACATGGATGAAGTGGATTGAGTGTTCTTTCTGTTTGTTGCAAAATGAGCAGTCTGAGGAAATGACCTCTTTCAACTTACTCAAGGATTTGCGAAGATAATTGCTCTGTATTTCTTTGACTATAGGGTAATTTTTCTAATTGCAAATAAGAAAGACCCGAGGAGAGGATAGCATTAGAAAGACAACTTTTATCTGAAAATAGCTGAGATGAAGTGAGTTCTCTTCATTGAGGAGACAGTTATATATATTTAGTTTTTAGTTAAATTATAAATAACTATGACCATTCTATGAAGGCCATTGTACTGACTGGAGAAATGTTGGAACGTAAAAAATTATATTAAGTATATTTTGATTGTTGACATAAAAACAACAAAAACGTGTGCCAGAGACAGAATCTTTGCGTGTACGCATGTGACGTAAACACATCGCGCCCGCTGTCGCGCGTTGGTGACGCCGTGCGTACGACAACGTACTACTGACGAAAAGGATACAAAGCAACAGCCACCGGGGTTTCACTGGTTAACAAGCTACACATAGCATTTATTTCGCCATATAACACACGTTCGTTTGTATTTCGAGGTAAGCTAAGTGTCCCCGTGTGACTTCTTGTTAATTACCGTCTAGTAAAGTTTATTCTTTCCCCTTCTAGACGTTTCCTTGGCTAGCTAACGCTAATTGTTACTCGCTAATATCAGCAGGCTAACTGCACATCCCTGCTCACACTACGAGCTGAAATCCTGGTTTTGCTGGGATTTAATCAGACGTTTCTCTCACCGCCTCTCAACTTATGTGACGCTAAAGCTAAATGTTTTGGTTTTCAGCTTGGGGAACGACAGCTTAGGGTCAAGATGTCGTATATGCTACCGCATCTTCATAATGGCTGGCAGGTTGACCAAGCCATCCTGTCTGAGGAAGACCGAGTCCTCGTGATCCGCTTCGGACACGACTGGGACCCCACATGCATGAAAATGGACGAAGTCCTGTACAGTATCGCTGAAAAGGTTTGGATACAATCTGTCTCATAAACCATGTGTATTAGAACATTAGCATTAGCTCTCCCCCAGCGTCTAAACCGTATTAACATGCCCAATAGCATCACCTGCTGTAACACATGAATAATAACCATAGAAGAACATTGTGTTTGTAAATAGGAGGCTTTCTGTCTGCTTGTCTGTAGGGTATAACATTAACCAGAGCGTTACCAGAGTGCATTGTCACTCCTCCAACTAACAGCTTACAGGCATATATCATATATTATAGAATATCAGCAAGGACAGAAAATAACTCATATAGTGACCACAAGTTGTAGTAATCACAAAATCTACTTTATGTTCAAAAGGCTCACACACAATACTAAATTTCACATACTTGCACTATTAAAACTGCACTTGGAGTTATAAATGAACTACTATCATTGATTTTCCTTTATTGGCATAGGTGAATTTTGCCACAGTGACTAATTGTTGTCAGTTGCATTAAATACTAGATTATTAGTTTTTGTATTATTAATTTTTACACCTGCAGATAATTTTGATGACACTCCAAAGCAACTGTTGTGGTATTAATAAACTTTTAGAATTGCTTCCCTGTAAAGTTCACAGGATCATCACAGTTTATGATTTGACTTGACAATCACATTGGCTGCTAAATGATTGAAGATTCATCATTATTTTCATCAAAGTGTTCACTGCTATGGCATATTATTGCTGATTTTACAACTATAACAATAATTTCTAGACCGATACTAAGGCTGTTAAAAAGCTCACTTGCAATATTTTCTTAAAGATATAACCTATGTTCTTGTGTAAGCACATTTAAGCTTACCTGGTTGTTTTAAAGCCACAACACTGTGAAGGTGAGAAATTGCAGGTAGTGAAAAGACAGAGGAGACAGTATCTCAGCATCAGTTAAAGGCTAAAATGTAACTTTTCAATGTTGGTGATCAAGTTGCCAGTTACAGTGTCATGTAATGAATGAACTGACAAACCAGGCACTGTAATTTGTAAGAATCCACAGAGCAGCCTTTTGTTTACCCCAGCAGCAGACCCCTCCTAGTTGTGAGGTTGTGCCTGTTGCACTGAACGTACTTTGCTGTTTATAAAGTTAACCATTATAATTTTGTACTTGTCTATGTGTCTTCTGACAGGTAAAGAATTTTGCTGTTATTTACCTGGTGGACATAACAGAAGTGCCTGACTTCAACAAGATGTACGAGTTGTACGACCCCTGCACCGTCATGTTCTTTTTCAGGTAAAGACAGCATCACAGCATCAGTCCTTAGATTATTAAAGTCAATATTATTTAAGTTAACCAGTTACTATATTGTTATTGCCCTTCTCATATTGTTATTGGTTTTCCTCAGGAACAAACACATCATGATTGATTTGGGCACTGGTAACAACAACAAGATCAACTGGACAATGGAGGACAAGCAGGAGATGATAGACATTATTGAAACAGTGTACAGAGGAGCAAGAAAAGGACGAGGTCTAGTGGTGTCTCCTAAGGATTACTCCACAAAATACAGATATTGATTTTTATTTTTTTCCCAACTTTTTTGAGATGTTTTCTTTTTTCCTGATATTTTGTGACAATACAGAGACTACAAGTTACAGAAGTCAAAGAAGATCTTTTACAACATTTTTGTTTTCACCAGCAAAACAAGACAATATTCTTATAAATGGTCATGATTGTGTGACATTGTGCCATTTGTGGTTTTTTTGTGTACCATTAGTACCAGTTTATTCAATTTCTCCAACATTGAGTTGCTTTCTTTTTCTCTTTAAACAAGTGCAGATACATTACACAAGTCTTCATTTTTAATGTTCTAATAAACATGGATATTTACATAAAGAAATGTTTGTTTTAGACCTTCTCAATTGTTCCAAACGGTTTTTTGTAATGTTATGATGATATATATTGTTTGACGATAGAAAAATGTTATGCTTTATATTATGCTCTAAATGAACTTTATTGCGTTGCAATACTACTCTCTATGGTAATATTTTTAGCTTTTTGGATGCTTTGTGTTCTTCCAAATGGCAAGAAATTTGCATGAAGACAAGACAAACAAATGTGACACAGAACTGGGTTATTCTGAACAGGAGGACTCCAACCAGCCAAGACAAAATTAAGAGCTTGTACCTAAAAGAGGGGCTACTTCTGTTGCATGGACATGGTTTGGGTATGAAAAGTTGGACACGGATCAGAAAACCGTACTTTCCAAATTATACCACAGAGCCCATAACAGGCTTAAACACCACTAAACTCAATTACCACCTACACAAGAACCATATCAAAACAGAACAGACAGTCTACAGATGAGGGCCACATCAGTTTATTAAAATATAAGATCTGAATTTACATTCAGAAATACCCAAATGCAAATATAATATTTGTACCTGTTGAATTTCCATATATGAAATATATAGACATGAAGTAAAATCATATATGTATGTACAACATAGCCTATATATGTAAAAATTACATATGAAAGCTGTTTGAAATTGGAACAATATCATTGACATATATGTCTTGATAATAGAAACACATCTTTTGGTAAATTGGTTAATATTATAGGTTTATATGATAGACATATGTCTATCATATATATACAGGTGCATGTATGGTTAAATACATCATATACAAGCACAGAATTTTAAGTTTTAAGAGTCGCGACTTGACCTAATGTGCATGTCTTTGGATTGTGGGAGGAAGACGGAGTACCCAAAGAAAGTCCACGCAGGCACGGGGAAAACATGCAATGTACAGTAAGGCGTAAAAAGGTCATAGTATAATAAGACATTAAAATGACATAGTGAGAAATAAAAAGGTAGTATGGAAAGGAATGAAAAGTCATAGTATAATAAGGCATGAAAAGGTCATAGTGTATTAAGACAGAAAAACGTCAGGATAGGAATAAAAGGTTACAGTATAGTAAAGCTTAAATGTCATAGTATAGTCAGGAATAAAAAGATAGTAAAGGGCATGAAAATCATAGTATAGTAAGGCATAAAAATGTCATAGTATAGTATGGCATAAAAAGTCATAAAAATGTCATAGTATAGTATGGCATAAAAAGTCATAAAAATGTCATACTATGGTAAGGCATAAAAACATCATATTATAGTAAGGCATAAAAAGTCATAAAAACGTCATAGTATAATAAGGCAT